CCTCATCCCCACCAATCGAGCCTGCGAAGGAGGTGGGAGCGTGAGCAGGGCCTCTCCAGATGATCGAAGAGATCGTGTGGGTTCGTATACAGAAATGCGGTCACGCAGGTAGGCGGGTCCCAAACCGTTCAGGGCTTTGTAGGTAAGAACCTACAACTTGAATTTGGACCGGAAAATGAACGGCAGCCAATGGAGATCCTTAAACAGGAGGGTTGACCGCTCCTTGCAAGAAGCACCGGTTATTAACCTGGCTGCCGCCCGTTGTACCAATTGAAATTTCCGGTCCGTTTTCAAGGGCAGCCCCACGTAGAGTGCATTACAGTAATCCAATCTGGAGGTGACTAAGGCATGGACCACCCTGGCCAGATCCAACTTCATGAGGTACGGTCGCAAGTGGTGCACATCAGATCCCTGCATAACTCATCTTTTCAACAATATAGAAAGCATCAGGCATAACAGCGTTAGGGAAAACTACCTTAAAATATAAAGCAGAGCATTTAAAAACAATCAGGATACAAAAGTTGAGCAACAGCTTATTAGCAAGTCATATGATGTGGCTGTAAAGAATTGCTTACGAGGCAAACATGCAAAGTCCAATCTTTAAAGAATCACAAAAGGTTTACTTACAGTAATAAATAACTGCAATTCTTAATAAAGAACAGGGTCTGAGCTACTCTAACACCCTTCTAAGGTTTCAAGAAAGGGAAAAACTCAAAGCACTACATTCTCTGACACTCATGCGGAGAGAGATCTCAAAGCACATACTCTCTATTAAAGTGTAAGAAGGCAAAGTCAAATTCAGAAAGGCTTGCTGTGGAAAAGTATCCATTCTACACAACCAAGAGCAGAAGCAGAGAGGAGAAGAAATAGATACGTTCCCAACTGTCAAACAGGAGACATGAGGGAAGGGAAACCCTTAGTCTATACTAAACTAATAATACAATATAATAATTGTATATTATATATTACACGTAATATTACTAATAATATTGCAGTATAATGGTATGGTACAATATAGTAATATATAGTATAAATATTGTGCTATTAATAATACAGTGTATTGTATGTGCATATAATTTGTAAGCCGCTCTGAGTCCCCTTTGGGGTGAGAAGAGTGGGATATACATGTCTTAAATAAATGATAACTTCTCATTGAGGACTTGAGACTTGGGCAATGTGGGGTTGAATCCCAACAACAAGCCCATTTTAGGTTTTTATTAATTTGTAAGGTACATTTTGTCTTTCTCCCTTAGTGAAATGAACCATGGTAATAATGTGTTTCATTCCCTGGTTGTGCAAAACCAGATTATTTCTTCATAGAATCTTCATTGGAAAGTACCAGGTTGAATAAAGGTCACTCAGTCTCCTTAATGTTGGAGAAAAGGGCCCCCATCTACACTGCCCTAAATCCCAGGATCTGATCCCAGATTATCTGCTTTAATCTGATTATATCAGTCTCCACTGCCAGATACTTGTTCAGTTCGGACATTTATATCCCTCCTTTCTCACCCCAAAGAAAACTCAAGAGTGGTTTACAAGTTCGATGTCCATACAATACATTATATAATTAGCATAGCACAATATTAGTATTCTATATTACTATATTGTAATATTAGTATAATATTACACATTAGTATTGTATTAGTATTTATATAATATAATAGTATTTATATAATATTAGATAATCTGTGATCATAATAATAATATAATAATAATATACTTTATTTATACGCCACCACCATCTCCCCGATGGGGACTCGGAGCGGCTTACATGAGGCCAAGCCCAAACTACAATTACAATAAAGAAAAACCAAAAACACAAACCGAAAACGCAAACAATAAACAGTAACATCATAGTTACATAAAACAAATGAATACATAACAATATACAAATTACAATATGCACAGGCACAGTAATAATGGGCAGGCTACATGTAGTGATTAAAAAGACAAAGTAATTAAAACTAATTAAAAACTCGGGCGAGATAAAAGAGAGAAGCAGGTAATTTACGGAAGAGGGCTCATTTTAGCGGGAGTTGTGGAATCAAGCTTTCCCATGAGGGGGAGGGGACGTATACTCTAATGTCAAAGCTTTGAGGTCGAGCAATCATGTAGGATTATATACCTACTCATCAAAGGTGCAGTGGAAGAGCCAGGGTTTAAGGTTCTTTTTGAAGATTTCTAGGGAAGGGGCTTTCCTAATTTCTCCAGGCAGTGAGTTCCAGAGTTGGGGAGCCACAATGGAAAAGGCTCTCTCCCTTGTACTGGGATATCAGGGCAGTGTGAAAGGGGCCTGGCTGGCCTATTATTAAACCCCATTATTGCCTGAGTCTATTCTGCAGTCACTTGGAAGTTGCCTGCTCATTTTAATATTATTCTGTTAATCTAAGCTTTCTGGCCCCATTTGGAGAATTAGTCTCCTCCTACACTGCCATATAATTCAGATTATCAAAGCAGGCCATCTAGATTTTATATGGCAGTGTAGATGGGGCCATAGTTGGCAGAATTGGCCAGCTTGTGAATACTGCATGAGTTGTGCAATATTCTACTTCAGCTCCAAGGCCTTGTTGCACCACACATTTCAAGGATCTGTAATAAAGTAGGCTTCAGTGTGTCTTGCTGATCAGCTCTTTGTTTAAATGCATTCTGGTGTCAAGGAATCCATAGTTTAAATTTGTTTTGTGCTTGTGTTAAAGTTGTAAATAATTGATATTTTGTAACCTTTACCACTTGTAAATGGCAGCATTGCAGCATCTTAATAGCAGCAACAGTATAGGCATTTGGGAGGGATGGCTAACCATTCATCATAACTTGCATGTGTCATAGAAGTAGAAGTGTGTGCCTTGAAGGTACTCACTAAACTTGGAGGCTTGACATTTATGTTCTTATTAATTGAACAGGATGATGTTGAGATAGAAACTATTGAGAATTGCAGCTGTATTGAACCTAGAAGGGATAGAACTAAGACACAGCTGGCACACGTACCTATGGTACAGAAAAGCAAAAAATGAAAAAAAATTATGGGAATCATTTTGTAAGATCATCTATCAAAATTTGGAATAAATATAAAGATAGGATATATAATAAAACACCACTATGGGTATCCTCTTTAGAATCCACTCAATGGAGAGAAATTGGGTGGGATCATTGGCCGACCTATAAAGACATAATAAAGAAACGGGCGAGAAATAGCATTAAAATCACAAACAGAAATAAAGGAGATATTTACAAATATAACATGGCTACAATATTGGCAAATAAAAAAATCTATATATATATATAAATGCTCTCTGCATAATGAGTACCTTAAAAACAAAAGAACCAATGCACAAAATCACACCAAATTTGGCAACAAAACATCTCAACACAAGGAGTGACCATCACTCAAAAAATTGATTTTGTCATTTGGGAGTTGTAGTTGCTGGGATTTATAGTTCACCTACAATCAAAGAGCATTCTGAACTCCATCAACGATGGAATTGAACCAAACTTGGCACACAAAACTCCCGTGACCAACAGAAAATACTGGAAGGGTTTGGTGGGCATTGACCTTGAGTTTGGGAGCTGTAGTTCACCTAAATCCAGAGAGCACTGTGAACTCAAACAATGATGGATCTGGACCAAACTTGGCACAAGCACTCAATACACCCAAATATGAACACAGATGGAGTTTTGGGGAAATAGACCTTGACAATTGAGAGTTGTAGTCACTGGGGTTCACAGTTCAACTACAATCAAAGAGCATTCTGAACCCCACGAACGATAGAATCGGGGCAAACTTCCCACACAGAACCCCCATGACCAACAGAAAATACTTAAGGCCATCCGATCCAACTCCCTTCATCAGGGCAAGAAAACGTAATCAAAGCCCTCCTGACAAAGAGCCATCCAGCCTTGGATAGATATAGATAGATTGATAGATATGATTCACACACACACAGATATAGTATCATAGATTTGAATGGGGACCCTTAAAGAAGGACAATGATATCTTGCATGTTCCAGGGTGGGCAAACCAGACACTCTCCACACTGACAAAGAAACAGCAAGAAATACTGTTTACCCACAGGCATAAAGAAATTACATATATTCAAAAGCAACACTTTCTCATTACATTATTTTCCAGATCAACAGACTGGGCCACAGCAATGCATGGCAGGGGACAGTTAGTACTTTATAAAAGACAAAGAATTCGGCTTCTCAACAGAAAATACCTGGGATAAAATATTGAAAACAGAAAAGAAAACAATAACCAAAATATATAAGAAATTACTAGAATGGAATACAGAGGAAGAGAGAGTAAAGGAATGCATGATAAAATAAGCAAAAAACATTGGAAGATCTATAAGAATTGAAGAATGGGAGAAAATCTGGAATAAAAAATTAAGATACACATGTGGCTACGATCTAAAAGAAAAGTGGTCAAAAATGATGCATAGATGGTACATGACTCCACATGTACCATCTATACTAAAAAATATTATAAAAACATCAATTCACAATGTTGGAAATGTAGACAAATGGAAGGAACTTTCTACCATATGTGGTGGACATGCAAAAGGACACAATTTTTTTGGAAATACATGAAAATATACAAAAGATACTAAAAATAAAAATACCATTGAGACCAGAACGATTTTTATTGGGAATAAATTATCAAAAATTAGATAATAATACAGAGAATTGCAGCTGTCATGTTTAACCGGGAGAGGCTGAAGCTCTAGTTCAGGCATGGGCAAACTTTGGCCCTCTAAGTGTTTTGGACTCTAACTCCCACAATTCCTAACTGCCTCAGGCCCCTTCCTTTCCCCCCTCAGCCGCTATTATATATGTAAGCTGCCACGAGTCCCTTTGGGGAGATGGAGGCAGGGTATAAAAATGAAGTTGTTATTACTATATTATTATAACACCCTATGTTACTTTTTCCTTTGTATTGGTTGGAGCTTTAAAAATAATAGTGGCTTTGAGTCTGGAAAGTAACTGAACCTTTCTGATTTCAGATAAAATTTGTGACCAGATCAGTGATGCTGTTCTTGATGCCCACCTTAAACAAGACCCAAATGCCAAAGTCGCATGTGGTGAGTGTTTTCTTCCTGCTGTGAAGAAACAGCTTCTGTTAGGAGTATGGTAGATGAGAGCTATTGTTCTTCTACACTTAGGTTGCCAATTCTCTTTTTTCATGCAGAAACTGTTGCTAAGACTGGGATGATCCTCCTGGCTGGGGAAATTACATCTTCGGCTGCGGTTGACTATCAGAAAATTGTCCGTGAAACAATCAAGCACATTGGCTATAATGACTCCTCAAAGGGTAGGTACTAAGTATACTGGCTGTGTATTGGGTCTCCTCTCTGTTTTCCATAGAGATGCATGGTTTCTTTAGATTGTTGCCCTAAGTTTAAAATGTGTGTGTATATTCTAGGCTTTGATTACAAGACATGCAATGTATTGGTTGCCCTGGAGCAGCAGTCCCCCGATATAGCTCAGGGAGTCCACCTTGACCGCAAGGAAGAGGACATTGGTGCAGGTGACCAGGTTGGTGTTAATGAGTTGTGGATTCATCTTAAATTGTACATAGTCATCCTAAAATGTCATTAAGTTCCTATCTTTGTAATAGGGTTTGATGTTTGGCTATGCTACGGATGAGACTGAGGAGTGTATGCCCCTGACCCTTCTCCTGGCCCATCAGCTGAATGCGAAGCTGGCAGAACTCCGTCGCAACCATACCTTGCCCTGGCTGAGGCCAGATTCCAAAACCCAGGTAAGAAGCAACCTCTTCTCCTGTGCTATTCTAATATATATAAATAAAAATGTAATGTTTGTTTGTGGGATTAGCATAACTCAAAAACCACTGGACTAATTGACACCAAATTTGGACACAAGACACCTCTCAGGCCAATAAGTGTCCATCACTCGTAAAAACACTGAAAAACATAGCAGAAGGGATTTAAAAAGCCAAAAAACCCAAAAAATCATAACGCATGTGCAAAACCACATATATACACACTCAAAATACATACACAGAAAGGGGGAATGAAGGAGGGAGAGAAAGAGGGAGAGAAAGAAAGAAAGAAAGGTAGGGAAGGAAGGAAATAGACAAGTGAAGGATGGAACCAAAGAGCAAAGGAAGCGAGAAAAGAAACAGGTAGAGAAGGAAGAAAGAAGAAGAGAAAGAAAAAGAGGGAGGGAAAGAAAGAGTGAAAAAAAGGAGGAGAAAGAGGGAGGGAAGGAGATAAGGAAGGAAAGAAAGATGGGTAGAGAAGGAAGGAGGGTGAGAAAGGGAGAGAAAGAAAGAAAGAAAGGTTGAACTACAATTCCCAAACTCAAGGTCAATGTCCACCAAACCCTTCCAGTTCTTTCTGTTGGTCATGGGAGCCCTGTGTGCTAAGTTTGGCCCAATTCCATCATTGGTGGAGTTCAGAATGCTCTTTGATTGTAGGTAAACTATAAATCCCAGCAATGACAATTCCCAAATGACAAAATCAATTTTTTTTGAGTGGAGGACATACATTGGGTTGTTAGGTATCTTGTGTCCAAATTTGGTGTCAATTCCCCCAGTGGATTTTGAGTTCTGATGGTATCACAAACGAACATTACATTTTTATTTATATAGATGACAGATATATCCTATGAATATATTTCTGTGTTGGTCGTATATCAGACGCAAAACCTTACATATTTTTCTGTGTTGGTCGTATATCAGACGCAAAACCTTACATTTCCATTGATTTCTTTTCAGGTGACTGTGCAGTACCGACAGGACCGGGGTGCTGTCATCCCTATTAGAGTCCATACAATCGTTATCTCTGTACAACATGATGAGAAAATCGGCCTGGATGAAATGAGGGATGCTTTGAAGGAAAAAGTGGTCAGAGCTGTCGTACCTTCAAAATACCTGGATGATGATACTATTTACCACCTGCAGCCCAGTGGACGTTTTGTCATTGGTGGCCCCCAGGTATGAAGAGGGTTCGGAGTTGAATATATATGATTGGAGGGAACCATTACTTGGGTGGATCTCGCTAGTTTTTTGTGATATCACAGCCACAGCTGTACAATTGAGGAAAATGGCTGCCTTATTAGAGAAGGCAAGTTGTGCAAAATTATGTAAGAGAAATATGTAAAACCACAGAATGCAAAATGGCATTTCAGTCAGTTGTGTCCACTGCTCCACAAGGCAGACCTGTCTTCATATGGAGATGTCATGTGGATTCTATGACGGTCAGTCAAAGAGGTGACCAGCATAATTTACTGGCCAGAGCGAAGACAGATGGGAACAGAATAATAATACATCCTTACAAGAGGAATGGTTGAGTGTAAGGCCCACTCTGCTGCCAGTGCCTCATGCCAGCTACAGATTCTGCAGCCTATGCACATTCAGATGGGACAGAACATATGTGATGGGAGATTCCTGGCTGATCCACGTGGAAGAATCAGCCAATGATGAGGAATGGTGGAAATTGCATTGCAGTGTCTTGAGGCTATAGGTTGCTCAATCTGATAATTGGGGGAGGGTGGGGACTGAATTCTTTTTGAGAAAAGGTATAGGCAAATGGAAATAGTCAATATTAACAGTACACACTCTTGCCTCTTATAGTGAGGGGTTGCACCTAACAATAGGCCTGTCAGTAGAAGCCATGATGAAACAATGATAGAAGCCTATTAAAATGACATTGCTACAGACCTCACACCTCTGAGGATGCTTGCCATAGATGCAGGCGAAACGTCAGGAGAAATGCCTCTAGAACATGGCTCTATAGCCCGAAAAAACCCACAAGAACCTAGAATAATAATAATACTTTATTTGTACCTCGCTACCATCTCCCCAAGGGACTCAGTGCGGCTTACATGAGGCTAAGCCTGCAGTATATCAATAAAATGAAGGCAATAACAAAATAATCAATACAAAACAGTAAAATAAATCTCAAAACAAAAATAAACAATAACATACAAGCATTCAAAAACCTATGGCCGGGCCAAATGTAATAATTTAAAATTTAAAAAATAATGCTGGGCATGAACAAGGTAGGGTACAACTAGGATAGGGTTTTCAAAGAAAGTTGAGGGCGCGCAGGCAATCCGAAATCAATGTTAAAGTGCATTTGAGGACATATTGCTAAGAGTTTTCCTTATTCTGGGAAGGCACACTGGAACAACCACATTTCCATCTTACCTTTACTACTAATATAATATAGTATATTGTATATACATATAATATTTATAATATTATAATGTAATACAATATAATACTAGTAATAATAATACTAATAATAATAATAATACCAGGTTTCGGCGGTGACCAGGGGAGCATTTGCACAGCTAAAGCTTGTGCGCCAGCTGCGCCCGTACCTTGGGAAGTCTGACTTGGCCACGGTAGTCCACGCTCTGGTTACATCCCGTTTAGACTACTGCAACGCTCTCTACGTGGGGTTGCCTTTGAAGACAGCTCGGAAGCTCCAACTAGTCCAACGCTCGGCAGCCATGATTCTAACAGGAGCGGAGCGCAGGGAGCATACAACCCCCCTGTTGCGCCAACTCCACTGGCTACCGATCTGCTACCGGGCTGAATTCAAAGTGCTGGCGTTGGCCTTTAAAGCCCTAAACGGTTCCGGCCCAAGCTACCTATCTGACCGCATCTCTGCCTATGAACCCACCAGGAGTTTGAGATCTTCCGGGGAGACCCTGCTCTCGATCCCGCCTGCTTCTCAAGCTCGGCTGGCGGGGACGAGAGATAGGGCCTTCTCGGTGGTGGCTCCTCGGCTGTGGAACGCCCTTCCTACGGACATTAGACTAGCACCATCTCTAATGGTATTCCGCAAAAAGGTGAAGACCTGGATGTTTGTGCAGGCGTTTGAGTAATTTAGTACAATCTGGTAATGGAACATAGGAATGGAACAATGGACGACGAATCTGGACTATGCTTGGATGATGAGAAGATTGGGTACGGTTGTTTTTTGTAATAATTGTGCATTGTAATTGCTTATTGGTAATTTATGGATAATGTGTTAAGTCAATTGTTATATGTTGTATGGAACCACTGCTGTTTCTACTGTTTCTACTGTTTGTGAACCGCTGTGAGTCGCCTTCGGGCTTGAGATACAGCGGTATATAAGCAAAGTAAATAAATAAATAAATAAATAAATTATAATTATATATTTACATTACATGTAATATTACTAATAATATTACAAAATAATGGTATAGTGCAATATAGTGATATATAATACTACTATTATATAGGTTGTTAAGATCTTCTGGAGGGGCCCTGCTCTCGGTCCCACCACCTTTGCAATCGCGTCTGGTGGGGACGAGGGACAGGGCCTTCTCGGTGATGGCCCCTCGGCTCTCTCCTGTTGGAGATTAGATCTGCCTCTTCCCTCCTGACTTTCAGAAAGCTGGTAAAAACCTGATTTTGGAATATAGCATTTGCAGAATGATGATCGAGTCAATAACGGCTGACCACACCAGCGGATGGTGATGAATTTGTGATTTTATTCTGACGACCTGGCTTTTGTAATTGTATGATATTGTATGATCTGTATTTTAATGTATTATGATGCTATTATGTTTACTATATTTGTGTTGAATTTTCTGCTCTTCGGAGGTCAAGAAGACCGGGTTATAAAAGCTCTAAATAAAAATAAATAAATGAATAAATATTGTACTATGCAAATAATATAATATATTGTATGAAAATATATATTGTAAGCCACTCCGAGTCCCCTTCGGGGTGAGAAAGGGCAGCATATAAATGCCATAAATAAATAAATAAATAAATAAAATAATTTGTCCTTGCAGGGAGATGCGGGCTTGACTGGCCGGAAGATCATTGTGGACACCTATGGAGGTTGGGGAGCTCATGGCGGTGGTGCTTTCTCTGGTAAAGACTACACAAAGGTTGACCGTTCAGCCTCTTATGCTGCTCGCTGGGTTGCAAAATCCCTTGTGAAGTCTGGTCTTTGTCGGAGAGTGCTTGTTCAGGTACGTTTTAACACTTTGCCTCTTGGCCTAGAAGTCATGAGTGTCACTGGATGGCAATGTTAAGTGCATGCTCTGGTTGACCTTAATGCTCTGCAAAGGCTGAAAGAAGGGAGCAGGGTTTGACATTACTAAGATCACAAGCACAAGAAGTTGAAAAATGTCAGGAAAGCTTGTTGGTGCTTATACAGTCCATTTAGTACAGTCATGGGCAAACGTTGGCCCTCTCTCCAGGTGTTTTGGACTTCAACTCCACAATTCCTAACGGCCTCAGGATCCTTCCTTCTTCCTTTCTGGAGAACAAGCCCTATGAGGAGCGGCTGAAGGAGCTGGGCATGTTTAGCCTGAAGAAGAGAAGGATGGGAGGAAATATGATAGCCATGTATAAATATGTGAGAGGAAGTCACAGGGAGAAGGGAGCAACCTTGTTTTCTGCTTCCCTGGAGACTAGGACGCAATGGAACAATGGCTTCAAACTACAAGAGAGGAGATTCCATCTGACCATGAGGAAGAACACCTGGAGGGAGGGCCAACGTTTGCCCATGGCAGGTTTAGTAGCTAATGCTATGTAGAGGTCATTGTCAGCTCTTAACAGCTGATTCTGTTGTGGTCTTAATTGCCCAAAAGTACTGAGGTGTTCATAATTTATCCTAAGATCTCAATGAAGAGTTAGATCCTAAATTGGAAGTTAGAAAGGAAGTAAATGTTGGGCAAGTGGACTCATTAATAAAAGACCCTCCTCATAAATATACAGCAGAGTAACTTATTAGCAGCAGCGTAAACAGCTGTAATACCCAGTTAATTTTTAATATTTCTGACAATAAACATGGGCTACAAGGAAATTAGAATGAGAAAAATACTGAAATATTGAATAATATTAATATTATCTGGGAGGGAATGGCTTGCGAGAGTAAAGCTGCTGTGTGCTTCAATGCCTTGTGCTTTATATTAACTTTGCTCTCAGGTTTCCTATGCTATTGGAGTGGCCCACCCATTGTCAGTCTCAATTTTCCATTATGGCACCTCCCAAAAGACCGAGCATGAGCTGCTAGAGATTGTGAAGAAGAACTTTGACCTGCGCCCAGGGGTCATTGTCAGGTAAAATAATGGTGTGCATGCGCATGTGTAAAGATGGCTGCTTCGGAGGTAAAAGGGGTTGGGTTGGGTTGCGGTGGCGCAATAGGTTAAACCGCTGAGCTGCTGAACTTGGTAACCAAAAGGTCGGCAATTCAAATCCAGGGAGTGGGGTAATTTCCCGATGGTAGTCCCAGCTTCTGCCAACCTAGCAGCTCGAAAACATGCAAATGTGAGTAGATCAATACGTACTGCTTCTGCGGGAAGGTAATGGTGCTCCATGCACTCATGCCAGCCACATGACCTTGGAGGTGTCTATGGACAACGCCAGATCTTTGGCTTAGAAATTGAGATGAGCACCACCCCCAGAGTTGGACACAACTAGACTTAATGTCAAGGGGGAGCCCCCAGTGGCACAGTGGGTTAAACCCCTGTGCCAGTAGGACTGAAGACCGACAGGTCGCAGGTGTGAATCCGGGGAGAGGCGGATGAGCTCCCTCTATCAGCTCCAGCTCCTCATGTGGGGACATGAGAGAAGCCTCCCACAAGGATGATAAAAACATCAAATCATCCGGGCGTCCCCTGAGCAACGTCCTTGCAGACGGCCAATTCTCTCACACCAGAAGTGACTTGGAGTTTCTCAAGTCGCTCCTGACACAACCAAAAAAAAAAAAATGTCAACGGAAAACCTTTACCTCATTACACTTAAAAAAAGTATGGCCCTTGAGCAAAATTGCTTCAGCTATTATTGAGAAATAAGGCAGCCTACTAAAGACTAAATATTCTGAATTGTAAAAATCTTCCAAGCTGCGGATCTTGGTATAAGGGTGATGAAATTTCCCTATTATGGACAGTGCAGGTGAGTGAGTTAATACTGATGTTTGCAGGCACTTCTACTGACTATTCTTAGTATCAAAACATTTTTAGAGGCCTGCTTGGTATTCCTTATATTTAGCTAGTTATGGAGGGCAACCAGGTCTAAGCCTGGGGGCTGCTTGGGTCTGTATACACAGCAATTCAGAACTTCTGGAAGCTTTCAAGTTCTGAGTTGTTTGGTTTGGAGTAAAAGATAGCAATTCAGATAGGAGAGTAACATCCTGATTTATTATTATTATTAAACTACATTTATACCCCACCCTTCTCACCCCAGTGGGGGACTCAGGGTGGCTTACAATCCATGGCATAAAATATACACATATTACACATATAATTATTATATTATATTATAATTATTATATTATAATAATGATATTAATAATTAATAATATAATAATATTATATAATTATTATATTATATTGGAGCCCCCGTGGCGCAGCGGGTTAAACCCCTGTGCCGGCAGGACTGAAGACTGACAGGTCGCAGGTTCAAATCCGGGGAGAGGCGGATGAGCTCCCTCTATCAGCTACAGCTCCTCATGCGGGGACATGAGAGAAGCCTCCCACAAGGATGACAAAAACATCAAAAATCATCCGGGTGTCCCCTGGGCAATGTCCTTGCAGACGGCCAATTCTCTCTCACCAGGTCACTCCTGACATGACAAAAAAATATATATTATACTAATAATTATATTGTAATTATATTATATTATTATTAATAATAATATTACACATACAATAATAAACACGAGATAATTCAAATAGAAATACAATAACAAGCTTAGAAGTAATTCAAATAGAAATACAATGAAAAGCTTAAAAGTAAACATTGAATCCCAACCAAAGTGGGCTGATATGGTGATCTGCAGCCATTTGGTAAGTATTCTGTACTGTCAAGTTGAGATTAACAATGGATGAGGGACCTGTGTGGGGAGTCTGATTCTTTTACAAGCCAATGGTTTGGGCTTCCGGCCTTGGTCGTCTCAGTGGTCACTTCTGGTATAGCCGCGTTTGCTTTGCTTGGTCAATGCACTGTGTTGAGTTACGGACTTGTATATTCCAGGGATCTGGATCTGAAGAAGCCTATGTATCAGAAGACTGCAGCCTATGGTCACTTTGGTAGGAACAACTTCCCATGGGAAGTGCCCAAAAAGCTCAAATACTGAACATGTGGGGCTTCTTTCCCCAGACCTGTTGGTGTACCTTACAGAGAAACCTCCAGGCTGTTGTTCTGTGGGAAAGAACCCTGTTCCCTAAATGATCATGTCCTTCTCTGCTCTTAACTTGGCACACTTTTTTGTCAATTGCCATGAATTATTAGTCCTTTGGGGGGACCTCAAATTGCACTGTGCTTTCTCCTCTTTCTGGTATGCTTGACCTGTAAGTAAAGCCAGTTGAGCATAGGCGCGATATGTCATACCTAGAGAAGAAAAGACTTATAATCAAGGCAATGTGTTATTAGTCTATTCCTTGTGTTGCCCAAAGGCTAACAACAATCTACCCTTCAAAACAGAACGAACGCTCTTCTCCTGTGGTGTGCACAGAGCCGGTTCTGTACCACGTACTTGGTCCAGATCTAGAGCAGCACGTTGTCGTGATTTGGCTCTAATGAGAATGCCAAGCCCACCTTTTCTTTCCATCCTTTTGGTCACCTGAGAGCCATGACTCCTGTAGCAGACAGCCTTGCATGCAACGCCAGTTCCGCTCCAGTCGAATGCGGCTTTCAATCGGAGGCAGTTCTGGTCTGACAACCGATGGTATCAGGCCCCCCATATTTTAATCTATTGTCGAAGGCTTTCATGGCCGGACTGACTGGGTTGTTGTGTGTTTTCCGGCCTGTGTGGCCATATTCCAGAAGCATTCTCTCCTGACGTTTCGCCTCCATCTATGGCAGGCAATCTCAGAGGTTGTGATGTTTCACCTGCCATTGATGCAGGTGAAACATCAGAAGAAAATGCTTCCGGAACATGGCCATACACCACAGTAAAACACACAGCAACTCCATACTTTAATCAATTTCCTATTATGTTCCTGGGTCTGGGTGGGATGGGGCAGGGATATTAATGAACTTATATAAAGATCCTATGCACCGTTTTAGCACTAGCCAAACCTCACCAATCTTATTAGGCAGACTCTTGGCCAATCTAATGGCATTATGGTCACAGAGAAGTTGCAAAATCATACCCAAGGTCTGTAGGCTGCACACTTTTTGGCACCTGGAATATATTTTTGATTTATTTCGAGCCAAGAACTTCATGTTGCACAAAAATTCTGAGGGGTTTATTTCCGATAGCCGAGTCCACACTGCATCCTGAAGTTCTGGTGTAGCTACAGAGAAACCAGTTCCCTTCAGAATGCAAATGCATTTGGTTAGGATGTGGCTTTCAGGGGGATAAGACCCTACATACTTGAAATTTTTTAATAATTGCTTATTTATTGTGTTTGGGACCGGGTGTGAGTACAGAGAAGCCCTTGTCTCAAATGGCAGCTTTTAAACTTGTTTTTGACTCCACCACCAATTCCTTGACCATTTCCAGCACTCCCTGGTAGGCCAAGGTGTCCTACAGAAAAGCCTTGGGTCCCAACCGCCAGGGGGTCTGGCTTCTGTAAAACAGGGGAGGGCCATGCTGCGGGGGACTGGCCCTGGGAGGGGCTGACTTGGCTGGTGTTGTACAGAGAAGCCGGCTTGTTTACTTACCTGTCCCACGGCCAGTGTCCTGTGCAGGAAGTGCCTTTTGCGTTCCACTTTTTTTTTCTGGGCGTTTACTACATGTGTCTGGTTCTTGAAATTCCAACAATCTAAAAGCATCTTAATAAAGTGCTAGGTTCTGTCTTCAAAAGTGTTGTCTCTCTGCTCTGAATGCTGAGGTGTTACGGTGGATTTCAAGTGGGATTCATGTAATGGCACACAGGTAGCTCAGCTGTTAGTCTAAAGAACCATGTCTTTAAAGCTGCCACAGATAAAGACATGCCGCTACAGAAATATGTTGGGTTAGCAAAGGATGGTTGTTTTTTTGAAGTAGAATTTGCGGTTACAATTGCCCAAAAGATAATAACACTCCCTTAAAACCTCTTAGTTAAAATGTGCACTCAAAGATTATTATTAACTTTATTTGTACCCTGCTAGCATCTCTCGAAGGACTCGATGCGGCTTACACAGGCCAAGGCCTCAATAAAACAGCATAATAAACACATAACTTAAAGCAAATCAAACAATAAAACAATAGCAGTAAACAATAAAAACAATACACCACGACATAATAAAACTAGGGCTCGGCCAAATGTGATGGGTACATATTAAAAAGTGCTGGTTGTGATAGGTGGTATGTCGGATTTTAGGGTAAGTGCAGTGTGCAGACAATCTTAAAACTCTGATAAAGTGCTTCTGGGGCATATTGCTGGAGTTCCTATTCTGGAAAGGCACACCGGAACAGCCAGGTCTTCAAGCTCTTCCTAAAGACTGCCAACGTAGGGGCTTGTCTGATATCTTTGGGGAGGGTGTTCCAAAGTCGGGCTACCTCAGAAAAGGCCCCATCCAGTGTCCCCACCAAACGTGCCTGCGACGCAGGTGGAATCGCGAGCAGGGTCTCTCCAGATGAGCGAAGAGAACGCGTGGGTTCATAGACTGAGATGCAGTCACACAGGTAGGCTGGTCCCAAACAATTTAGGGCTTTGTAGGTGAGCACCTGCACCTTGAATTGGGTTCAGAAAATAAACAGCAGCCAATGGAGCTCCTTAAACAGGAGGGTTGACCTATCTGTAAGGAGCATCAGTTAACATCGTGGCTGCCGCCCATTGGACCAGTTGAAATTTCCGCGCTGTTTTCAAGGGCAGCTCCATGTAGAGTGCATTACAGTAGTCCAAACTAGAGGTGACCAAGGCATGGACTACCCCGGCCACATCAGCCTTAGCGAGGTACGGTCGCAGTTGGCGCATGAGTCTGAATTGTGCAAAAGCTCTCCCGGACACCACTGACACCCAAGTTATTTTTTAAAGAAGACTGTTTACTCCTAAACAACTTTTATTAATTCACCATACAGGCACATTTCTTATTAGAGAACAGTTAGGTAAGATGTAGTTTCTTGGATGTGTTGAGTACCCAGGATATGTCCATAGTCTTTAAGTATAGCTGTACCCACTGAAGCCCATATGTCATACTTCTCTACTAAAGTCCAAATGGCAACATGCATCCACCTCCACCAAGGTCGGATGCAAATTGAATACAAAATGGACTCCTGTGTCTGAAGGCCCTCCCACACCAAAGAGGTACAGTCAAACTGGCAAACCACAATGTACATACAATATAGGTTAACAATTACACATTTAAAAACAGTGGAGGAGTCTTGGAAAGTTGCTTTTTCCAACAGTATGTTCTTCATGTCCTGAGCCTTGTCACTCAAGGGGACAGAGGTGGTCCTTTTCCATTTTATCTTCAACCTGCCTGTGGGATTGAAGTGGTCCAGCATTGTTACATTGTGGCTGTGGTGGAATGTGGTTAGTTGCTAATGAGCAGGGGGCAGCACCTTAGTCCTTCCATAGCCTATTTCAGAGGAGGACCCACCTCTGTCAATCAATCAATGATTTATTACGGTCTATGACCAGCACAACATAGAATGCGGCACATGTGCCCAGGGAATTAGAATCGCAGTTCCCAAGTATGTCAGATATAAAAGCAGATTTAAAACATGTTATAAAAAGACAGGTTATGCTTTCAGTTTAAAGACCAGGTATGGGTCTAAGAGAGGACCTACCTCTCAGTAACCCTTGTATTAAAACCCCAATGGAATGTATAGGATCAACATAAAGGCAACATAAGATCAAGTATGCACACAATGTACATGTATGGGCTGCAAACATCTTAAATTCAAAGGATACCATTTGTACCTTGATGTTTGTGGCTTCAGGCACAGCAAACTTTGACCAATTTCTCTCGGCACATACCATTGGAAACTCCTTTTTTTGGGATGTGGATATGGGCCTCATTCGCTGAGCCCAGCACAGACAAACGTCTGACCTAATGTGCTACAGTCTGTGCAACGGCTCATCCACCGAAAGCCTTTAAGCTGCTTTTCCTAAAGCTGTCATTGTCCCAAAGGGTCCTCAAGATACTTTCTCTGCCTGAGCTGCACCAGGAGACAACTGTCGCTTCATTGTCAATTGTGTGGCTTTATTACGAGAGTGTATGAGCCTATAGAAATTCAACTTGATCAAGTTACAGTCTCGTGGCTCCAGTATAATCTGTGCAAGCCACTATGCCACTGGTATGACTGGCGTGAAGCAGCACTGTGTAGATATAGGAACCACCTGTTGATTAATGCTATTGTGTATTCTCAAGCTTTTATTTGGAGGGTTCAAACGGCAAGAGTATTAGGTTGTCAGGCCGTGATTGATCCATGTGCAATTCAGATTGGTTGTGGCCCCATTCTGCTATTCTGAAGCTGGGGGGTTAACTGCTCCCTGTAACTGGCTCCCGTTAGCAGCCTGGCCACAGATCTTTGAACCAACTGTAGTTTGCAGGCCTGTCTTCAAAGGCAGCTCCATGTAGAGTGCATAGCAGTAATCCAGTCTGGAGGTAACTAGGGCATGGACTACCATGGCCAAGTCAGACTTTACAAGACAAGTTTTAAGTCACTCCCTCCACTGACATTGCAGGTTATACCAAGCGCCATGAACATGTAGCCCAAATGCTGCCAATGTCCTCCACAAATGCAACAGACCACCACTCAAGGAATGCTTTCATTCGAGGACAATTTCATCCTAGATTGTACTTGTTTCCTTCAACGCAGGCAGGCACCTGCCTGCCTGCGTTGGCGTGGAATTTGCATGACCTCGCCCACTACCTGTCCCTTAACCCTTTCCTAATCTTTTCAACTCTGTCTTCATAACAGCAACTAAACATACTGGAAGACTGGGGGATTGACACCACATGATGGAAGTAGTAGTTCACCATGCATTAAGGCCAGAGTAATGGGTACAGAATTAAAAGTGCTGATGTGACAGGTGATATGTAAGGATTATATGGTAAGTGCAGTGTGCAATAGTCTTAATTCTAATAAAGTGCTTCTGGGACTTGGTATTGGAGATTTCCTATTCTGGGAAGGCACATCGGAATAGCCAGGTCTTCAAGTTCTTTCTAAAGACTGCCAACGTAGGGGCCTGTCTAAGATCTTTGGGGAGGGTGTTCCAGAGTCGGGGGACCACCACAGAAAAAGCCCTGTCTCGCGTCCCCACCAAACGCGCCTGCAATGCAGGCAGAATCACGAGCAGGGCCTCTCCGGATGAATGAAGAGTGCGCGTGGGTTCGTAAACGGAGATGCGGTCATGCAGGTAGGATGGTCCCAAACTGTTTAGGGCTTTGTAGGTAAGCACCTGCACCTTGAATTGGGCTCGGAAGATAAACGGCAGCCAGTGGAGCTCCTTAAACAGGAGGGTTGACCTCTCTCTGTTAACATCCTGGCCAATGATGGACTGGGACCAAACTTGGCACAGAGAAGCCCCATGACCAACTAAACATACTGCAGGGGTTTCTGGGAATTAATCTTGATTTTGAGAGTTGCAGTTCACCTGAAGCCAGAGAAACAGTGACCACATGTACACATACAGATTTTCACTTTTATTATGTGTATTGATAGAAGATGATTTGCTGTTTTGTTGGTTGATGCATTTTGTTGTCTTGGTTGGTTGATAGCCATACAGTGGGGCCATGAACCTGCTGTATGACTGCATCCCCCACATCCATAAATGGTATGATGCAAGCACGAAGAAGGTGGTGCAGTGGATTTAAAGGACTGAAGACCGACGGGTCGCAGGTTCAAATCTGGGAGAGCGTGGATGACTCCTTCTAACAGTTCCAGCTCCTCGTGCGGGGACATGACAGAAGCCTTCCACAAGGATGGTAAAAACATCTGGGGGAAAAACATGAGGAAGAACTTTCTGACTGTGAGAGCCATTCAGCAGTGGAACTCTCTGCCCCGGAGTGTGCTGGAGGCTCCTTCTTTGGAAGCTTTTAAACAGAGGCTGGATGGCCATCTGTAAGGGGTTTATTTATTTGTCGTGTCAGAGCAACCAGTCCATTATATTACATTTCTAACAGAACAAAGCAAACAAACAGACAAATACAAAACTTGTGAATTTGGTAGTTGATTAAATGTCCTTTGACCAGTATCTGGCCACTTGGAGTGCTTCTGGTGTTGCTGCAAGAAGGTCCTCCATTGTGCATGTGGCAGGGCTCAGGTTGCATTGCAGCAGGTGGTCAGTGGTTTCCTCTTCTCCACACTCGCATGTCGAGGATTCCACTTTGTGGCCCCATTTCTGAAGGTTGGCTCTGCATCTCGTGGTGCCAGAGCGCAGTCTGTTCAGCGCCTTCCAAGTCGCCCAGTCTTCTGTGTGCCCAGGGGGAGTCTCTCATTTGGTATCAGCCATTGGTTGAGGTTCCGGGTTTGAGCCTGCCACTTTTGGACTCTCGCTTGCTGAGGTGTTCCAGCGAGTGTCTCTGTAGATCTTAGAAAACTATTTCTAGATTTAAGTCGTTGACGTGCTGGCTGATACCCAAACAGGGGATGAGCTGGAGATGTCTCTGCCTTGGTCCTTTCACTATTGGCTGCTACTTCCCGGCGGATGTCAGGTGGTGCAATACCGGCTAAGACAGTGTAATTTCTCCAGTGGTGTAGGGAGCAGACACCCCGTGATAATGCGGCATGTCTCATTAAGAGCCACATCCACTGTTTTAGTGTGGTGAGATGTGTTCCACACTGGGCATGCATACTCAGCAGCAGAGTAGCATAGCGCAAGGGCAGATGTCTTCACTGTGTCTGGTTGTGCTCCCCAGGTTGTGCCAGTCAGCTTTCATATGATATTGTTTCTAGCACCCACTTTTTGCTTGATGTTCAGGCAGTGCTTCTTGTAGGTAAGAGCACAAGGATGGTAAAAACATCAAAAACATCTGGGCGTCCCTTGGGCAACGTCCTTGCATATGGCCAATTCTCCCACACTAGAAGTGACTTGCAGTTTCTCAAGTTGCTCCTGACACGACAAAAAAAGCCCCTTCTGATCCAGTGGTTCTCAACCTGGGGTCTCCAAATGTTTTTGGCCTACAACTCCCAGAAATCCCAGCCAGTTTACCAGCTGTTAGGATTTCTGGGATTTGAAGGCCAAAAACACCTGGGGACCCCAGGTTGAGAACCACTGCCTGAGTGCGCAAGCGCACTAGCTCTGCCTTTGGGTCTCCAAGCGACGGTGGGGGCGGGGACAGAGCTGGTGGCGTCGCGCATGCGCGCCGGCACGAACGGGAGAGGCGCGGCTTGGAGAGTGCCTCGAGCGTTGACGCATGCGCGCTGGGCGGAAACGGAGGCGAGACCTTCAGCTTGGCCAAGGGAGACGGACGGAGGCGGAGCGGAGGGAGCCCTTGAGGTGCGGGATGGGAAGGGCAGGGCAGGGCAGGGCGGCGACGGACGGGGCCCAACCGGCCCGAGGGAAAGAAGCAGCGCCTCGAAGGAGTTAGGCCTCGCCCTCGACGGGGAAAGAACAAGGCCTGGCCCGGCCTCTGAGGGATAGGCCTCCTGAGGGGGTCGCGATTGACAGCCGGCCAAAGAGGAAGTCCCACCCCTCCCAGGAAATAGACCCCGGCGGGGGGGGGGAGGCGGGGAGGAGGAAGTAACGGTGGGCCTGAGAGTCTTAAAGTGCCCCAAGTGTTGTATGGCGACCCTTCAGTGCAGCTTCAATGCTCTAGAGCAGACCAGGGCAAACTTGGGCCCTCCAGGTGTTTTGGACTCTAACTCACACAATTCCTAACAGTTTTCCCATGGCTATTTCTACACTGCCCTATAAAACAATCCCAAGCAGATAATCTGGGTTTTATATTGCAGTGTAGAAGGTGACTGACTAGCTCAGGCATGGGAAAACTTCGGCCCTCCAGGTGTTTTGCAGGGCTGAAGTTTGCCTATGCTTGGACTAGCTCAGTGGTTCTCAACCTGGGGTCCCTAGGTGTTTTTGGCCTTCAACTCCCAGAAATCCTAACAGCTGGTGAACTGACTGGGATTTCTGGGAGTTGTAGGCCAAAATCATCTGGGGACCCCAGGTTGAGAACCACTGGACTAGCGGATAAAACAGCGATTGATCCTAACCAGGTGGGTGGATTTATGATGCTTTAGGGTAGGGTCCTCAAACTTTTCAAACAGAGGGCCAGGTCACAGTCCCTCAAACTGTTGGAGGACCAGATTATAATTTGAAAAAAGCATAAATGAATTCCTATGCACACTGCACATATCTTATTTGTCGTGCAAAAAACACTTTAAAACAATACAATAATTAAAATTAAGAACAATTTTAACGAATATAAATGTATTAATATTTCAATGGGAAGTGTGGGCCTGCTTTTGGGTGATGAGATAGGATTGTTGTTGCTGCTGTGTGCTTTCAAGTCATTTCAGATAGGTTGACCCTGAGCGAGGTCTGGATAAATGACCTTGGAGGGCCGCATTCGGCCCTCGGGCCTTAGTTTGAGGACCCCTGCTTTAGGGGGAAAAACCCTCAGTGGGCAGTGGGTTAAACCCCTGTGCCAGCAGGACTGAAGACCGACAGGTCGCAGGTTCAAATCCGGGGAGAGGCGGATGAGCTCCCTCTATCAGCTCCAGCTCCTCATGCCGGGACATGAGAGAAGCCTCCCACAAGGATGATAAAAACATCAATTCATCCGGGCATCCCCTGAGCAACGTCCTTGCAGATGGCTTCACACCAGAAGCTAATTGCAGTTTCTCAAGTCGCTCCTGACACGACAATAAAATAAAAAGGGGGAAAGATGCTCGTATCCACTGATACCTGGTGTAGTGATTTCATCCGGGCATCCCCTGGGCAACGTCCTTGCAGATGGCTTCACACCAGAAGCTAATGGCAGTTTATCAAGTCGCTCCTTACACGACAATAAAATAAAAAAGGGGAAAGATGCTTGTATCCACTGATACCTGGTGTCGTGATTTCATCACTGGACTAGGACTCTGAAGACCAGGGTTGGAGTCTCTATTCAGTTACAGAAACCTATTGATTGGATTTATAATAACAATAATAAAATTTTATTTGTATCCCGCCCTATTTCCCTGAGGGGACTCAGGGTGGATTCCAACAATAAAAAGGCAAACATTCAATGCCTAAAACAAGAATACTAAACCACTCAAAACTCAAATAAACCAACGTATATTAAAATAAACCGACATATACCAAATTAAACCTACATGTAAAACCAAATTAGCATAAAAAGATGAGTCTTAATTTATATAAAAACCAAAAGTTCAATTTCAATTACATTAAAATTAATTATGTTGCAGTGCTGCAACAGAGCCAACTAGGCAATAGATTAGGTGACTATGATCCTCTAGTCCTCCTCCTCTCCATATGCTAAAGAGCAAAGGCGAGTTTTTAATTGTTTTTTGAAGGAGAGAAGTGAGAGGGCAATTTTTATCTCTTTAGGACAATGGTTCCCAACCTTTTTTTGACCAGGGACCACTTGGCCAGGGACCACTGTCCAACAAAAGGGTTAGAATCTGTTTTTGGTCAGCTTTAGATTCGCTTTGAGGTGCTGATTCAGAAACTTGCATTGGATAGACCACATCAGTTCTAGTTTCTGGTGCAGAATGTATCCCATGGTCAGTGACAGGGAAGGAATGGCAGGCGAAAGGAGTGGAAATAAATAAAGAGGAAGAAGGCTCACAAACCAGATTTTCGTCCTCAAGGCCCACTGGTGGTTCACGACCCACAGGTTAAGAACCATTCTTTAGGAGGAGCCCCCAGTGGTGCAATGGGTTAAACCCTTATGCCAGCAGGACTTCTGACTGACAGGTCAGTAGTTCAAATCCTGGGAGAGCGAGTTGAGCTCCCTCTGTCATCTCCAGTTCCTCATGCGGGGATATGAGAGAAGCCTCCCACAAGAATGATAAAGCATCAAACATCCAGGCATCCTCTGGGCAGCATTCTTGCAGTTCACCAATTCTCTCACACCAGAAGTGATTTGTCGCTCCTGACACACACCAAAAAAAAAAAATCTCTTTAGGGAGGGCGTTCCAGAGGTGAGGGATGATCACAGAGAAGACCTTCTCTCTCATTCCCACCAATCTCTTTAGGCAAGTCTCACTCTCTCTGTCTTAGAGGAGGACAAAGGCCAACCCCTTCCGAACAAATCTGGCCCAAAAACCCATGATAGGGTCGCCGTAAGTCAGAAACAATTTGAAGGATCAAGAAAACAAATGCATTAATGTCTAACAAAGAAGGGAGAAAATATTAGGGGGGTTTAATAGATGTTGGATCATATTTGGATCAGAGATAACTTTCAGATCACAATAAGATAGAATCCCTTAGATCAGTGGTTCTGAACCTGTGGATCCCCAGATATTTTAGCTGTCATCTCCCAGAAATTCTAACAGCTAGTAAACTGGCTGGGATTTCTGGGAGTTGTAGGCCAAAACACCTGGGGACTCACCGGTTGAGAATCACTGCCTTAGATGCACGTTGCCCAGTTACTCTTATTGCAAGACAAAAGGTTTCATCTGGAGCTTGGAAAAGTTATTTTCTTGGTCTTCGGGTCTCAGAAGCTTCTGTGGCCAGGAGGACTAGAAGTTTCAGGTGCTGGAATCCAACGCTCTGGGCCAAACATTTACATATTTTTCCTCCACAGTCCTGTGTTTCTCCGGATGACCACACATCTGACGACTTTCCCCCAAGAAATTAATCACAAGCAGATCAGCTACCCACCATTCCAAGGTTTATTTGGCACCCCTGCTCCCAGAAGCTTCGGTGATATAATATGTTTAACTGCCCTGACCCAATGCCACGGAATCCTGTGAGTTGTAGTTTGGTGAAGCATCAAACCCCTTTGGCAGGGAAGGCCAAGGGTCTCGTGAAGCTCCCAAGTTCCATCGCATGGAACCAGGACAGCCCATGTGAAATCAAATTGCATTCAGACCACAGTGTAGATGAGTGTGGGCAAACTTTGTCCCTCCAGGTGTTCTGGACTTCAACTCCCACAATTTCTAACAGCCTACTGGCTGTTACGAATTGTGGCAGTTGAAGTCCAAAACACGTTGAGGGAGGGCCGAAGTTTGACCATGCTTGGTGTAGATGTTCTTTCACAGTCTCATAACAATTTAAAAGAAAAGAAAAACAACAATTAAAAACGGATTAAATACTAATGCATGGATACAGAGTTAAAATACAATGAATACAATTAAAATTACTTTTAAAGCCAATCATCCCCCACTCCCCTCACAACCTCTTAGTCTGTGAAAATGCTCAGTCTTGGGAACATAGCAGGGTCAGCCCCCCTGGTTAGTAATTGAAGAGGAAGCCAACAATGAATGTAAGGAAGAACTGACAAAGCCACCTTTGAGGTCCCTCCCATGTAGCCATATAATATCAACCCAGATAATCCACACTATCTCCTTTGAACTGGTTTATCTGAGTCCTCATTGCCATATAATCCAGTTCAAAGCAGATAATGTGGATTTTATACAGCCGTGTGGAAGGGGCATGAGGTTTCCTTGACTGAGAAAAATCCTGAAATTCACGGGGGTGCCATAAGACTACTTGAAGAGACATATACATCTGAGATCTGGCTCCTAGGACATAAATAAAAGGTGCCTTTTTGGACCATCACTCCCAGGATGTTTGCTGGGGATTCCGGGAGTAGCTGTCCAAAAGGAGAAGCTTCCCTAAGTCCAGAAGGACTGCCAATGAATTCTAGGTGCTAAATCAGGCTTGAGCAAACTTCGACTCTGGCTATTAGGGGTTGTGGGAGTTGAAGTCCAGAACACCTGGAGGGCCAAAGTTTGCCCATGCCTGCCCTATAGGCTCTATAAGAAGCTACTGAGAGAAATGCATGAATGTCCTTTGCCTAAGGCATCACAATTGAAGTGAGATGTTGACAAGCTGGAACGTGTCCAGAGGAGAGTGACTGTAATGATCAAGGTTTTGGAGAACAAGCCCTTATGAGAAGCGGCTTAAAGAGCTGGGCATGTTTAGCCTGCAGAAGAGAAGGCTGAGAGGAGACATGATGAGGGCATGTATAATAAGTATGTGGGGGGAAGTAATAGAGAGGAGGGAGCAGGCTTGTTTTCTGCTGCCCTGGAGACTCAGATGCGGAACAATGGCTTCGAACTGCAGGAAAGGAAATTCACAGTTAGGAAAACTGTAAGGAGAGCTGTTCAACAGTGGAACTCTCTGCTCCGGAATGTGGTGGTGAACGTTGGAGGCTTTTAAACGGGGTCTGGATGGCCATCTGTTGGAGGTGCTTTGAATGTGATTTTCCTGCTTCTTGGCAGGAGGTTGGACTGGATGGCCCACAAGGTGTCTTCCAACTCTAGGATTCTGTGATTCTAAGAAAGCCTTATGAAATTCATAGGGTGTCTGTAAATCAATGTGTAGCGAAAAGGCACACACACTGTTCCATCCTTGCCTTTGGGTTAATTAACATTATAGTTAACAGTTTAAAAAAAGCTATTTCCTTTTTTAATTATTCATTGGTACTGTTTGAAACTGCTGCTTGTTAATTAAATGTATAACGATGCCACAAACTGCCTGTCAGATACAAAACATGACTTCACACTAATTCCTATGTGATTTGTTAATTCAATTATCTGGTAGTGAACTAGTTATAGAATAAAAAACTCTCCATTGAGGGCCACATTTGTCAATTGAGATCTAGAATAATAGTACCGTAGATACTCGAATATAAGCCAACCCGAATATAAGCTGAGGCACCTAATTTTACCATAAAAAACTGGGAAAATGGATTGACTCGAATATAAGCCGAGGGTGGGAAATGCAGCAGCTACTGGTAAATTTCAAAATAAAAATAGATACCAATAAAATTATATTAATGTAGGCATCAGTAGATTAAATGTTTTTGAATATTTACATAAAACTGTAATTCAAGATAAGACTGTCCAACTCTGATTAAACCATTATTCTAACCTTTAATGTAAATATGCTTACATGTCCTCCAATAATAATAAATAGAGTACAATAATAATAATAATAGAGTAAAATAATGGAATGTAATAATAACAGTAATAAGAGTAAAATAATAAATGTAATAATAACAACAATAAAATAATAAATGTAATAATAACAATAACAATAACAAAGTAAGATAATAAATAACGTTGACTCGAGTATAAGCCGGGGAGACTTTCTCAGCCTAAAAAAGGACTGAAAAACTAGGCTCATACTTGAGTATATACAGTAAATCATTTTCTTATAGTATTCTGAAAGTCCTTTACCTGTGGCCTACATTATGTGACTTTCTTTTGCTGCCCCAGCTTGTTCATGGGAGTAAGGCATATGTGGTATTTACTCAAGATACAATGATTGATGCACATCATAAAGCCTTGCCTAAGTGGTGTTTTATGACAGGGGTGGGTCATTATGAGCATTGACTTGTATTTTGTCTGTGGGAAGTACATGTCAGCAGACACTATCTTAACGCTTATCTCTTGTTGAGCTCTACTGCAAAGTTCTTTGTGGTATAGTATGTGGACAGAACATTGGGTTTAAGGCATTTTGAAAGGTAGCTGCTAAAATATTTTTTTACCCACAGATAAAAATGATGGATCAGTTATTTATTGCCAAATGAATTAGAAGCAGAGAATGAGAAAATGGTCAGGCTCAGCTTGGATCTGTGCTTCTTAGTTGGTCTGCAAGCTGTGGAAAGAACAGACTCAACATGAATGCATAGTAAAACTGGGTTAGAAATAGAGTGCCTGGATTCAGGCTGCAGTGGAGTAAAAAATTAGAAGAATTGGCTGTCAATGGGCATATGTTTCCTTTACATCCTTGTCAGGAGAATGGAGGCTGCTGTTTTCCTGAAGGAAGATTTGCTATTGACTATGGATTAGCTATTGAGTATAGACCAGTATATATAGTGTGTCCCCTGGTGGCGCAGTGGATGAAACCGCTGAGCTGCTGAACTTGCTGACCAACAGGTTGGCGGTTCGAATCCGGGAAGCGGGATGAGCTCCCGCTATTAGCCCTAGCTTCTGCCAACCTAGCAGTTCGAAAATATGCAAATGTGATTAGATCAATAAGTACCACTCCGGCGGGAAGGTAACAGTGGTCCCTGCAGTCATGCTGGCCAAATGACCATGTCTCTACGGACAAAGCCATATCTTTGGCTTAGAAATGGAGATGAGCACCAACCCCTAGAGTCGGACACGAGTAGACTTAGTGTCAGGGGAAACGTTTACCTTTATAGACCAGTATAGAGTTGCTGTTGAGTTTAGATTCCTAGTGTACGTGCCTATGGTAAAATCATACTTGGCCACCATCATCACCCACATGCACACACTTTTACCGTGGGGTTCTTTCACCCAATAGGAGACATTTGATCTCCTACATGTGTTTTTTGTTCTAAATTTAACTTGGGATTTAAATTGGGAGTAGTGGTATACAAGATAAATAAATAAATAGAATAATGAACACAACTGGCTCGGTGTGTAGCAAAAAATCCCCATCCTGTGCCAACAAGATAGGGAAAGATTTATATTTCAAGTTTAAGTGGTGTGGGGTGCGTGCTTCCTAGGTTTTTGAGATTACATTATTAGCAAACAATGGTAGGGTCTAAGTATCCACATTTAGAGGCACCATAGTGTGCCTCTAAAGGTGGTTTTGAACTCTCATGTTTCAGGTAGCAATAGTTTGTATATGAACGTTGCTTCCAAGCACAAAGCAGGAGTAAGTCTAGTTAAAATAGTTTGGATTTCTAAATTGATAGGGAAAGAATCAGGCTTGGAGGAAGAATTTTTGCTAACATTCTGTTGGTTAATCCCAATTAGATTTGTTCAGTTACCATATATACTCGAATATAAGCCGATCTGAATATAAGATGAGGCATCTAATTTTATTAAAAAAACGGAAAAGGTATTGACTCGATTATAAGCCAAGGTTGGGAAATGCAGCAGCTGCTGGTAAATTTCAAGATAAAATAGATATGAATAAAATTACATTAATTGAGACATCAGGAGGTTAAATGTTTTTGAATTTTAAACTGTAATCTGTATAAATAAAAATGTAATGTTTGTTTGTGGGATTAACATAACTCAAAAACCGCTGGGCAAATTGATACCATTTTTTGGACACAGTACACCTATCGGGCCAACAAGTGACCATCACTCATAAAAACACTGAAAAACACAGCAGGAGATACTTAAAAAGCCAAACAACAAAAATTACATTACAATGCATGCACAAAACCACATATATACAAACACACATATATACACAAATACACAAATATATACACACACATACATGTACACACACACAAAGCACATATAAACAGAAACACATGGCGGGGGCGGCTAGTTTAAGATAAGACTGTGCAACTCTGATTAAACCATTATTCTAACAACCTTCAATGTAAATGTACTTACGTATTTTTCCAATAATAATAATAGAGTGAAATAATACATGTAATAAAAATAATAGAGTAAAATAATTTAAATCTAATAACAATAACAATAATGCAATAATAACAATAAATACAAAAGTAATAATAATAGAGTAAAATAATGTAAATAATAATAATAGTAATAATAGAGTAAAATAATAAATGTAATAAAATAATAATAGAGAAAAGTAATGTAAATATAACAACAATATCAACAATAACGGAGTAAAATAGTAAATAACATTGACCCAGATTTAAGCCAAGGGGGATTTTTCAGCCTAAAAAAGGGCTGAAAACCCCGGCTTATACTCGAGTATGTACGGTAATTTTTGCATGGTAAATAAACAAGAAAATATCTCATTGACTAAAAAGGTCTAACTAGGGGTTATACTTTGATGTGTTTCAATAAAACTCAGATTATTGTCTTGCTTCACCCCCCAAAAAAGTTGAGGATATTGTATCTGATCCGATCCTTATAGGAATACTGTGAAATTGACTCAAAATTGTTCAGGCTCTTTGTGGCTCATTGAGGATTTAAGTCTGGATCTCCTGGTCTAAAGCCATTAACACAGTAAGATATACACCACACTGGCACAGATAAATATGTATAGTTCTCCATCATTTAGGCCATATTCTAATCATGTTTCTAAGGATTGAATCTGGGATCAGTGGAACACAGTTGTGAGAAAGTTCAGTATGTAAATCGTCAAAATTAGAGATTCTTTACTTTGCACAATGAGTGGACAACTGCTTTTTCTTCATTATGAGTCCCTTTGGGAAGAGAGGGCAGGTTATAAATAAAGTATTATTATTATTATCATTGTGTTTTTATACCTTTTCTATTCTACTGAAGCAGCTCCAATGGCTGATGATAAGTTTCTGGTCCCAATTTAAAGTGCAAGTTATCACCTATAAACCTCTCTATGGTTTGGGTCCTACCTATCTTTGCGACCGCATCTTTCCCTATGAACTGGTGCAGGTCCTTAGATCTATCTGCCGGAGAGGCCTTCCTCACTCCCGCCATCGTCACAAGCACGGTAGGTGGGGACAAGAGAGAGGGCCTTCTGGCTCTGGAACTCCCTCCTCAGTGAGATTAGACTAGCCACCTTTCTCAGGGATTTGAAAACCTATGTGTTCCAATGTGATTAGTCCCTGTTCATGAATGCCCAGTTCTAATTTACTGGTAAGGTTGTATTCAGCACTTTACTCCCAACCTGGATCTATAATTTGCTTTTTGCACAAGCCTACGCCCTTCCTTCAACAACCATATTCCTAGTTACTGGTTGTTGAGGTTGGTTTGATACACTTTTACAATGTTTTTATATTTTGCCATTTTCAATTGTTTTAATTAGATTGTTTATGGTATATTGTATGTTATTATGTTTTTAGCTGTGTTTTAGTTGCTAAATGTTGCTTTATGTTGGGCTTGGTCCCCATGTCAGCCGCCCTTAGTCCCTTCGGGGAGACGGGGTATAAAAATAAAGTTATTATTATTGTTATTATTGTTATTAATGCATGCATTTACCTCCCCCCCATGTTTGACAGGTGTACATAAAAGCTAGAGGAGAATCCTTCTGTAGATTCACATTGAGAAGTAAATGATTTAGGAGCTATATTGTGAAATAAGAAGCCTGCAACCATGTTCAGCTGTACTCCTAGTGCTCCTAGACCACGAGGTATATATGTATTGTTAAAGAAGTTCAGATATTAATGGTAAATAATAATAAATAATAAAAATAGTTAGAAGCTAAGTATTCATCATCCAGCAACACAAGACTGCTTTTCTGCATCCTGCAAAAGAGATAGGCAGAGCAGGTCCTACATTTCCCCTGTGCTACCTTCTGAGATGTGATATTGGAAACTGCATTGTGGCAAGAAGAGATTTCTTGTTGTCAAAATTCAGAGGAATCCCTGCTAAGTCTTTGGAGCAGTGTTTCTCAACCTTCCTAATGCCGCAACCCCTTAATACAGTTCCTCATGTTGTGGTGACCCCAACCATAACACTATTTCTGTTACTACTTCATAACTGTAATTTTGCTACTGTTATGAATCATAATGTAAATATCTGATATGCAGGATGTATTTTCATTCACTGGACCAAATTTGGCACAAATACCCAAAATGTACGGGTGGGGTGGGGGTGGGAGTTGATTTTGTAATTTGGGAGTTGCAGTTGTTGGGATTTATAGTTCACCTACAATCAGAGAGCATTTGGAACTCCACCAATGATGGAATTGAACCAAACTTGGCACACAGTTCTCCCATGACCAACAGAAAATACTGGAAGGGTTTGGTGGGAATTGACCTTGAGCTTTGGAGTTGTAGTTCGCCTACATCCAGAGAGCGCTGTGGACTCAAACAATGATAGATGTGGACCAAACTTGGTATGAATACTCAATATGCCCAAATGTGGAGTTTGGGGAAAATAGACCTTAACATTTGGGAGTTGTAGTTGCTGGGATATGTAGTTCACCTACAATCAAAGTGCATTCTAAACCCCACCAATGATAGAATTGGTCTGAGAGGCTGATAAATCACAGCAGAGGGGGGGCTTTTGGTGGGAGGATTCGCCGTCTGGTTCCAAAGGGAAGAGAAGGACAAGTGGAGAGATCTTCAGCCTTCTCTGCCAAAGAGGTTCCTATTACCATCAGAAATATATGTTTTCTGATGGTCTTTGGCAACTCTCTGTAATCCCTTGTGACCCCCCTCAGCGGTCCCAACCCCCAGGTTGAGAAACACTGCTCTAGAGTTCCAAAGATCTTCAAGAATTTTACAGTGCAATCAGTTTAGTTTTATAACTGAATTCGTTACTAAAAAATAAATAGTATTTCAATGTATAGAGTTGGGAATCTTGCAACAGGGCTACTTCTCAGAGAAACGGGATAATTGATGTTTGGCCTTGTAAAAGAAGCACTTGTGTCCACAGGCCTGGACATAGGCCACAGAAAAAGGCGAAATAATTGGGATCAAAGCCTTTTATGGTTGACAGGAGAATTTCCTGACACAAAGGATCCATTCTGTTCTTGTTGGAGCCATACACAAGTGAAAGAGGCCTTTGGATAATAGATTTTGCCTTGCAAGCAGTGTATTGAAGTCTAACTCCACTGTTGGGAGTCTTTTTGGGGGCAGCTTTTTTCCCCTTAAAAATACCTTGATAATGGGGAAGGAAATCAATGAATAAACTTTCAGTTCTTCATTTTTTATATACACGGTGGTTGGAAGTTGGTTTCTCAAATGATGTTTGTAGCTGGAAGGCAAGTGTGAATTTATTTCCAAATCTATACTGATTTTCTTTGCTTCTCGCAGACCCCATGGCGATCCCACCATCTTACTGTGACCTGGGGAAATCTGCCAGGGATATATTCAACAAAGGATATGGTAAGTATTGCAAGGGCCAGAAACTCAACTGTATAATGTTCTCCTCAATATTACGATGATATTTGTTAACCTGTTGGAATATACTGTAAGGTTATAGTTAACATTCTGTTGCTGAAGGCTTTCATGGCTGGAATCACTGGGTTGCTGTGAGTTTTCCAGACTGTATGGTAATGTTCCAGAAACATTCTCTCCTGACGTTTCACATCTTTCGCATCTATCACAGGCATCCTCAGAGGTTGTGAGGTCTGTTGGAAACTAGAAGTGGGGTTCATATATCTGTGGAATGTCCACAGATATTACACATATTACAGTGAACCCTCTACATTCACTATGGGTAGGGCCACAGGACCCATATGAAAGTGAAAAAAATAGCTAATTTTTGGGGGGGTTTCTTGTTTATGGCATTCTCGTTCCTTGATCATTTGACTCTTCCCATAAGCTCTTTGTTTGTTGTTCATTCGTTCGTGACCTCATGGACCAGCCCACGGCAGAGCTCCCTGTCGGCAGTCACCTCCCCCAGCTCCTTCAAGGTCAATCCAGTCGCTTCAAGGATCCCATACATCCATCTTGCTCTTTAGACTGGTGGAAAGTCTTGTTTTAAGAGTTTTCCGTATAGTTTTGGATTTCACAAGCGAGTTTCACACATCATGCTGGCTATCAAGTTTTACCAGGCGGTGTCTACAAACAGGGATGCCTCCTAGCAAATGTGATAAGTTCTAGGATTGTTCCTGCAGCTATTTCTGTACTTTGTGGGATCACAGGTGCTTCTGAAATGAAGCTTGACAAAGATAAAAACTTGTTTCACTGTTGAAGACTATGGGATTTACTTACCCTACTTGGTGTTTTAGCAGTGCTTCAGATGCCTCTAAACCAATGGTTTTCCACCTTTTTAATACCATGACCCCTAAATAGAGTTCCCCATGTTGTAGTGATCCCAACCATAAAATTATTTTTGTTGCTACTTCATAACTGTAATTTTGCTACTGTTATGAATTGTAATGTAAATATCTTTATTTATTTATTTATTGTATCAGAAGCGAACTGAGGGTACAGTTGTAATGTATTTAAAAAACACAAAGTTTAAAAAACTTGGCATTATATTAAATGTTCTTTGACCAGTAGCTGGCCACTTGGAGTGCCTCTGGTGTTGTAATAAGAAGGTCCTCCATTGTGCATGTGGCAGGGTTCAGACTGCATTGTAATAGGTGGTCTGTGGTTTGCTCTTCTCCACACTCGCATGTTGTGGATATGCAGGATGTATTTTCATTCACTGGACCAAATTTGGCACAAATACCCAATACGCCCAAATTTGAATAAAGTGGGGTTGTGGGGGGGGGGGGTGATTTTGTAATTTGGGACTTGTAGTTGCTTGGATTTATAGTTCATCTACAATAGGGGTCCTCAAACTTTTTAAACAGAGGGCCAGGTCACAGTCCCTCAAATTGTTGGAGGGCCGGATTATAATTCGAAAAAAATTATAATCCTATGAACATTGCACATATCTTATTTGAAGTGCAAAAACACTTTAAAACAATACAATAATTAAAATGAAGAACAATATTAACAAATGTTAGTTTATTAGTATTTCAGTGGGAAGTGTGGGCTTGCTTTTGGCTGATGAGATAGGGCTGTTGTTGTTGTGTGCTTTCAAGTCATTTCAGACTTAGGTTTACCCTGAGCGAGGGCCGGGTAAATGACCTTAGAGGGCCGTATCCGGCCCTCGTGCCGTAGTTTGAGGACCCCTGATCTACAATGAAAGAGCATTTTGAACCCCACCAATGATAGAACTGACCCAAACTTCCCAGACAGAACCCCCATTCCTTGAAGGGACTTGCTGGGGCAAGCCTCCCTCCAGCCTCACACGCTCTCCCTCGCTTGCACTTGCGCATCACACTGCCATGCACTGAGCATGCCTGCCTTCTGCTCCCCGCTTAGAGTCTCAGAAACAGCCCTCCCCTTGGCTGAGAGGCCGACCAATCACAGCAGAGGAGGACTTTTGGTGGGAGGATTTGCTGTCTGTTTCCAAAAAGGAAGAGAAGGTCAGCTGGAGAGATCTTCAGCCTTCTCTGTCAAAGGGATTCCTAACACCATCAGAACTATGTTTTCTGATGGTCTTTGGCGACCCATCTGAAACCCCCTTGCAACCTGCCCAGGGGTCCTGACCCCCAGGTTGAGAAATGCTGCTCTAAGCAATAGATCAGAGATAGGAGGCGGGTTTGTGGCAACCCTACATCCAGGCAGAAGCTAGTTAAAACTAATGGTTCTCCGTTAAAAAAATTCTTGATATATTCTTAATGCTATTCCAGCATTGTTTTCTCTTTTCTAATTGGGCATAATTACAAGTCAACTACTGTGATACAAATTACAAGTCTTTGTTTTGGCAATTTCAGGGTTTGGAATGGTCAAGTTAGAGTTGAAGACGAAGTCTTCTAGTGGAGTGGTAAGTAATGGGAACTTCAAGTTGTTGTGACAACAATGCAGAACTTGTGCAAGATTATTAGTAATGCCATAGTACTGAAACAGTAGCTGGGAAACACTTGGCCCTTAATAATTATTTGGTTCCCCAAAAAATTTGAATGTTTGAATTTGAATGCTTGTATGCTGCTTCCATTGAGATTAGGACAAGAACAATGGCTTCAACTTACAAGAGAGGAGATTCCATCTGAACTTCCTGACTGTGAGAGCCATTCAGCAGTGGAACTGTCTGCCCCGGAGCGTGGTGGAGGCTCCTTCTTTGGAATCTTTTAAACAGAGGCTGGATGGCCATCTGTCAGGGGTGCTTTGAATGCAATATTCCTGCTTCTTGGCAGAGGGTTGGACTGGATGGCCCATGAGGTCTCTTCCAACTCTTTGATTCTATGATTCTATGATTCTGTTTACCTCTCCGTGCAATGCTGACTTTGATGTGTTTGAAGCTGTGCTCCTCTAGTGTGTAATGTAAGCACTTAACAGATGTTATGTATGGCAACAAGAGAGCTGTCTCCGCACCTGTAGTTAAAGTGGAAGAGTTTGCAAGAGTGCTGAGTTAAATACCTATAGCATACATCTTGCTATTCTAAGTGGAAGCAGAAGTATGGGTTTTTGAGAAGAACCACTAATGAATTCATGTAGTTATGTCTAATGTGTCTTCTCCTTTTACATGCAACTCTGTTTTGTGGATGTTTATTCAGCTGGTAAGAATGCATTGTACCTTTCACTTCTGTATTTTAAATGTTGCCTTCACATGATCTCCTGTCATCCTTTATCTCCTTTGGAAGAGATAAAGCGGAATAATAATAATAATAATAATAATAATAATAATAATTGCAAAGACTCTGGCATAAATCAGTACACTGGGTGCCGTGCCAAAAGACCTCAGCCGGCATTTGGAAACAACAATAAACGCTGACAAAATCACGATCTGTCAACTGCAAAAGGCCACCTTACTTGGATCTGCATGCATCATTCGAAAATACATCACATAGTCCTAGACGCTTGGGAAGTGTTCGACTTGTGGGTTTTTTAATACGAAATCCAGCATTTAGATCTCATTTGCTGTGACATACTATGCTTTTGTGTCAACAATAATAATAATAATAATTCATCCATTACGTGGTTTTGAATTGACACCCAGGTTCTGTTGCATTGCATATAACATCACCACTCAACCCCATTTGCATGTGAAACATTTGGAGGCATATATAAAAATATAATTTTGGTTAGAGTTGCTGAGCTTGCTGTCCGAAAGGTCGGTGATTCGAATCCAGGGAGCGGGTTGAGCTCCTGCTGTTAGCCCCAGCTTCTGCCAACGTAGCAGTTTGAAAACATGCAGATGTGAGTACATCAGTAAGTACTGCTTCTGCAGGAAGGTAACGGTGCTCCATGTAGTCATGCCGGCCATATGACACAACTAGGCTAAATGTCAAGGGGAAACCTTTACCTTTTACTAACTGGTCATTATCTACATTTTGTATATTTTAAATATTACAGAATTATCAGTGATGTCATATCCTAAAAGAAAGTTTCTTTCAGTCTCCAAACAATTTTCTAAATGAGAACTTCCTTTTTTCCATCCCCTGTTCCTTATGTTTATTCTTAGATTGTAAGCAGTTCCCAAGCAGTTGTGTGTGTGTGAAAGTGTACGATGCTTGAGGCCATATTGCACCTGCAGTCTAACTGAGCATAAATAGCTGGGAAAGGTGACCGTGCCCACAGCCTCCTAATGTGGGTTACAGAGTCAGTCAGTTAATAGATGACTTACAAATAGCCTTTTGACTCATTGCCTTTGGCAACTATGGCTTGCCTGGAGTGGCCACAAAAGCTGAGAGAGCCTGACTAGGAAGCTAGATGTATTTTTGAAGGCTACCAAGACTTGTAGGATTATCGCTATTTGACATGTGGTATGCTTTATCCACGATCCTCCTCCCAAGGTTATGCCTGGGCCCTTCCTGATTCTGAGCAAGGAACTTTGGATTGAAGTATTCAAGAAGGCCAAAGAGCCCTAGTAGCATTGGATTTGTGCTTTCAAGTGCAGCTTTATCTCCATAAATTCCAAAAGATCAAAGAAGCAAGGGAACCAACTAGATTGGTATCCATTGGAAGGATGTTCTGTGGTTGGCACACAGCTACTGAGAAGGCCTCCCCTTATGTCCTGATCTATAGGCTTGTGAGAAGTGGAGCTGAGATGTTTTCTTTTAGATATTTCAGGGCTCAGGCAAGCTTATATGGTGGCATACAGTCTCTCAGATAATCTAGAACCAAGCTGTGTAGGGAGACATCAATAATAAGAAGAAGAAGGAGGAGAAGGAGAAGGAGGAGGAGGAAGATCAAACTACAAAGGGGTTGTGGAATCAAGCTTTCCCACAGAGGGGGGGATGACATATACTCGAATGACAGAATGTTGAGGCTAAACAGTAGTGTGGGATTGTATATCTACTCTCCAGAGGCGCAGCAGAAGAGCCAGGTTTTAAGATCCTTTTTAAAAATTTCTAGGGTAGGGGCTTTCCTAATTTCTCCAGGTAGTGAGTTCCAAAGTCGAGGGGCCACAGAAGAGAAAGCTTGTGCTTACCAGGCGAGTTTGTGAAATTGGCAGGGGCGAAAGAAGGGCCTCCCCAGATGAACGGAGGGCCCGAGATGGTACATGGTCATGAAGGTAGGCCAAACCGTTTAGGGCTTTGTAGGTGTTAACCTGCACCTTGAATTGGGACTGGAAAATAAATGACAGCCAGTGGAGCTCCTTAAACAGGGGGGTTGACCGCTCCCTGTAAGTTGCCCCAGTTATTTGACACTTGGGAAGTGTCTGATGTGTGATCAAATACAAAAGCCAGCAGAGTGATCTTCTTTGCTGTGTACTAATCTTGTTGTATATATAATAATAGTAATAATAATAATTTTTATTTATATCCCGCTTTTTTCCCTCAGGAGACCCAAAGCGGCTTACAACATATTAAACTCATGTTAACAACAATCCAAATATATCGATAATAACTATAAAACATCATAAAATAACAATTTAAGACAACAATAATATACATTCTTGGGCATCATGTCATTAGAAGCATTACACCGCCCGAATACTGTGGAATGACCTGGTGGAAGAACTTTCAACTGCTAAATCAGCTGTCAGAATTTAAGATGCAACCAAAGACACATCTCTTCTGGCAGGCCTACCCAGTCAATTTTTAACTTTGAATTTTCAACTCATGCCAAGTGTTCACTGTATTTTAATCTTTGTTCTGTGTATTTTGATATATGTCATTCATAGAAATACATTTAAATATATATAGTTTACATAATGTTTTAACTATCTTGTGCCCTGCCTCAAGCCACAAGGAGCAGCGAGTAAGAAGTAAAATTGTTGTTGTTGTTGTTGTTGTTGTTATTATTATTATCATTATTATTATTTGATTATATGAATAAATACTACATGGTAAAGCATGATATAGGTAGAGCTATGCATGGTTTATTAGAATTGTATTAACGTTAAAATTTGGTGTTTTTTAAAAGTTTATTCAAATATCTTTTTTACAGGAATTTACCACAAGTGGCTCATCAAATACAGACACAGGGAAAGCTTCAGGCAGCTTAGAGACCAAATATAAATTCAAGGACTATGGACTTACATTTGCCCAAAAATGGAACACTGACAACACCTTGGGGACGGAGGTGACCATGGAGGATAAGGTAAGAGCAAGTTGATATGTGGCTTGGAAATAGGGGATGGGCTTATATCGGGTCATTGTAATCTGAACGTGCTGGTTAGGGTTAGCATCTCATGGGCTATGCTGGGCCAAGTTTCTTGCCTTGGTTAAGTATTGGTGTTAATTTATTTGAAACATTTATGAATTGAATTTGTATTTACATATACAAGTCAATCACATGTATTTTTGTGTAATTATGTTTTACTTAAATATTAGTATTTCTCTTTCTTTTTTCTTATTTCTATTGTCACTTGTCGATATAAGTTTATTGATGCTATTTTGTATTGTTTTGAATTGTGCGTTTTTGTTGACTACGGCATTAAATGTTTGCCTTTTTGTATGTAAACTGTTCTGAGTCCTCCTGGGGAGAGAAGGAGGTCTATAGATAAAGTATTTATTATTTTATTTAATCAAAAGTAAAATACAACAAACCTCGCGCAAAAAAGAAAGAACAGAAAAACTATAATGTCAAAAATCTAGCGAAACTACATATTTTCAGGATAAATCCTGAATTTTGGTCAGATGAAGAAGCTACTTTCTGACCCGCTGCCAATAAGGCAACTTTTTGACATAATTTCATGTTTAAACCATCTAGTTCAGATATGGGGAAGCCCAGGCCTGGGGCCAGATGCAGCCCCTTGGGCTCTTTTCTCAGGCCCATCTTTCTTTCCTTCTTTCCTATCTCCTTCCCTCCCTGACTTCGCTCCCTCTTTCTCCCTCCCTCCATCCTTCTCCTCCACCCTTCCTTCCTTCCTTCCTCCCTTTCCTCTTCCCTCCCTCCTTCCCTCCCTCCTTCTCCTTCCCTTTTTCCCTGTCCACCCTCCCTCCATTTTGACATAATTTCATTTTCTTTCTTCCACTTTAGTTGGCTGAAGGTCTGAAGATGAGCCTTGAAACCATGTTTGTACCAAACACAGGGTGAGTATCCCTCACAAGAAGGATGGAGAAAAAGATTTCCCATTGGGAATATTGTAGAGCAGGCATGGACAAACTTCAGCCTCCAGGTGTTTTGGACTTCAACTTCCATAACTTCCACTTGGAGGGCTGAAATTTGCCTATGCCTGTTATAGAGTTGTTAAATACAGAAGTGAATGGCTTCAAATGATGAGAATGTATTGTATTTTTGTTCGTATCATCAAGTTGTTACTCCTAACCAGAATTCAGAAAACGTAGAGAAGTATTTCACTGCTAATTTTTGACTGTCTAATTCAGGTTGGAATCAACTGAACTGTCTTTCTTCCCTTTCCTTCCACGTCCCACTCCTTGCCAGGAAGAAGAGTGGAAAGTTGAAGACATCCTACAAACGGGAGTACATAAATCTCGGCTGCAATGTTGACATTGACCTTGCTGGACCCACTGTCTATGGCTGGGCCGTGTTGGGCTACGAGGGTTGGCTCGCTGGCTACCAGATGGCTTTTGACACAGCCAAGTCCAGGCTGTCACAGAATAACTTTGCACTGGGATACAAGGCAGCGGATTTCCAGCTGCACACGAACGTGTAAGTCTTGGCTTTGCCCAGGGGCTGTTAGGAACTGTGGGAGTTGAAGTCCTGAGTTAGAGCTATGTTTTCTATTGGTAAACTATAATTTGCAAATTAAAGAAATACGAAACTTGAAGAAATGAGGGTGCCTTCTGAAGATCTAAAGCGCAGCCATGGTTGAGCAGATGTAGCCTATATGGGGATATTAGGGGATTTTTTTGTTGGGCGTGTGGGCTTATTAACAAAAGACCCTCCTCATAAATGCAGAGCAGAGTAACTTATTAGCAGCAGTGTGACCCAGCACCAGTAGCCAAAAGTGATAAAACAGACAGACCAATATTATCTCTTTCATAGGAGGCTTTTCTTTGTAGTAAAATAATGTAGTTGCACTATTTACAAGAACAAGGTTTCCATAATACAAATAAAGTTCTTTATACTTTCTTCTTTGCTTCCATGCTGGACTTCTTCCTCTTGCAGATAAACAGCTTCACTCCCACAGAGCCTCTTCTCACACCAAAGTTACACAGGAGCTTCGCACAATAGCTTTGTACACAGCAGCCTTCACACTGGAGTTTCACACATGAGGCCTTCACTCTGGGGCTTCCTCTTACGGAAACCTCACACCAGGCCTTTTCATACTGAGGTCTACTAACACTGAGGCCTATCTCATTTTGAGGCCTTTCTATCATTGAGGCCTTCTCACACTGAGGCGAACTAACACTGAGGCCTACTAAGCTACAGGCACGCTTGCTTATATTGAACTGCAGCTTTTGCTGAGTCATTGTATCCATTTAAACCTTTCACTCACATTTTTGTATTTTAAAATACCTAGTTAATTTTTAATATTTTGACACCCATCCCCCCCCCCCCCCCCCGGGCCAACCAGGATTCAGCAGCTTTATTATAAAGGAGAAATGACTACCATTGTGTTCTTCTGTTACTATCTTAAGAGTATTATTGAGAAATGTTTAATGTTTGTGAAAAACAGAAAATGATGCAGCTACTGAAGGGCTAGAGATCTGGATCTGGCAGCATTCGAAGGGGAGGCTGAGCCATGAAGGTCTTGCACTCTTCCATGTTCAGTACTGTTACATTTACACTTATATAGAGATTGGATGGATATAGGAGTCTTATTGCAGGGGAAGAAGACAATGTGTATGGTATAGCAGTTTATTCCATATTGCTATCAGTGACAAATATCTGCGTATCTGTCTGAACGTATCTCCCTCTATGTCCCACCTCGGAGTTTAAGATCTTCTGGGGAGGCCCTGCTCTCGACCCCGCCTCTATCACAAGTGAGATTGGCGGGGACGAGGAGCAGGGCCTTCTCGGTGGTGGCCCCTCACCTGTGGAATGCACTCCCCGGGGAAATTAGATCATCGTCATCCCTCCTTTCCTTTAGAAGGAAATTAAAGACATGGATTTGGGACCAGGCGTTTGGGCAATCTGGCAGATAAATAAAGGACAACGACGACCGATAGGAATGGAAAATGTGGAATGAAATTATGGACTCTGAGTTGCGAGCACTGAGCATAAGACTTGTTTTTATTGATTAACTGTGATATATATTGATTATTTTAACTGTTATAACTGTTTTAATTGCTGTTTATTTTTTATCTGTATTACTGTGTAGGCATCGAATTGTGCCTTTTTGTAAGCCGCCCTGAGTCCCCCCTCAGGGGTTGAGAAGAGCGGGGTAGAAGTACACGAAATAAATAAATAAATAAAATAGAGTGATTGGCAAATCCAGAAAAAGACCAAGAAGGGCAGAGGAGAAAAAAGAAGACAAGTGAAACCTTTTCCTCTAAAAATCGTATCTTCTTTTGATCTTTCACAAATAGGAATGATGGAACTGAATTTGGTGGCTCAATCTATCAAAAAGTGAGTGACAAAGTTGAAACCGCTGTAAATCTTGCCTGGACCGCTGGCAGTAATAACACTCGGTTTGGCATTGCCACCAAGTACCAGCTGGATGATAACGCTTCTGTCTCGGTAAGGATTTTGCTGACTTCCCATGAAATTATAATTGTTGGGCGAGTAGGCTTAACAAAAGACCCTCCTCATAAATGTACAGCAAAGTTACTTAGCAGCAGCAGCAGCATGACCCAGCACCAGTAGCCAAAAGTGATTTATTTCATATTGCAATAAGAAAGGCGGACAGACAGCATACATGGTCGTAATGCTGGTACCAAGCTGCCGCCCCGAATGGCATGACCGTTGAGCATACCCTCAACAATGCATTTTGCAACCATATTCCAGTAACACAACATGGTCCAACAACAACAACAACAATCCTATCTCATCAGCCCAAAGCAGACCCACACTTCCCATTGAAATATTAATAAGTTTATATTTGTTAAAATTGTTCTTCATTTTCATTATTGTATTGTTTTTAAGGTTTTTTTGCACTACAAATAAGATATGTGCAGTGTGGATGGATAGGAATTCATTCATGGTTTTGTTTTGTTTTTTCAAATTATAATCCGGCCTTCCAACAGTTTGAGGAACTGTGACCTGGCCCTTTATTTAAAAAGTTTGAAGACCCCTGGCTTAATTCATTGTTATAATTTCTCTGTTATCACTGTTACTTTATTGTGCATTATTTTGATATGTTTGTACTCACCTGAGGCATTTAATGCTTGCTTTTGTATGTGTGTAAACCACCTTGAGTCCCTTTGGGGAGAGAGGGCAGTCTAGAAATACAGTTATTATTATTATTATTATTATTATTATTATTATTATTATTATTATTTCTTTCTAGGCCAAAGTTAACAACGCCAGCCTCATTGGACTTGGCTACACTCAGACCCTACGGCCCGGTAGGTATACGGTTGGGTATTTGAACATGACATTTCCTTATTTATAGCTTTGTTCATCTAACCCAGGCATGGGAAAGTGGCTCTCCAGATATTTAGGATGTAATTTCCCACAATTCCTAACAGCTTACCTACTGGCTGCTAGAAATTGTGGGAGTTGAAGTCCAAAACACCTGGAGGGTCAAAGTTTTCCATGCCTGGCCTAGAGGAAACCACTTGTCCAGACAGAGACTGAATGTAACTTATCATATTTCTTCAATTGTAAGACACCATTGATTGTAAGAGACACTCTATTTTTTGTGCCATCATCACCATCAAAAATGTGTAGGATACACCTGCAATTTCTCTTGTTATAAGTTTTTGGTTATTATTTTGTATTATTTTGTATTATTTTGTATTCGCTAATGGGTATTGAGTGCTTGCCTTTATTGTGTGTAAACTGTCCTGGGTTGCTGCGTGTTTTCCGGGCTGTATGACCATGTTCCAGAAGCATTCTCTCCTGATGTTTCACCCACATCCAAGGCAGGCATCCTCAGAGGTTGTGAGGTTTGTTGGAAACTAGGCAAGTGGGGTTTATATATCTGTGGAATAATGTCCAAGGTGGAAGAAAGAATTCTTGTCTGTTGGAGGCCGGTGTGAATGTTGCGATTAATCACCTTGATTAGCATTGCAAAAACTTTCAGTTTCAGACTATACAGGGAAGTCATTGAAATCCACAAGCATGTGGACAATTTCAACAGAAAGGAGGAAACAATGAAAATGAACAAAATCTGGTGACCAGTATTAAAAAAACAACTCTTAAAATCAGAACAGTAAATAAAGAGCAAAACCCAAAAAGAATAAATCATGGCCAGCTAACACATCCCAACAAAGGATTCCCCAAGGCTGCAGCTAGCCAGTCAGGCATTGAAGCTGCAAGGCCATTAAATGCTAATCAAACATTCATACCTGCGTCAAGCAGGCAAGAGTTCTTTTTTCTACCCTGGACATTCCACAGGCATATAAACTAACCTGTCTAGTTTCCAACAGATCCTTCAACCTTTGAGGATGCCTGCCCTAGAAGTTGATTTTATTTATTTATCGTGTCAGGAGCAACCAGACATTTGTATTACATTTTTAACAAAACAAACAGACAAAACACAAAGTTTGCAAGCTTGGTAGTTGATTAAATATCCTTTGACCAGTATCTGGCCACTTGGAGTGCCTCTGGTGTTGCCGCAAGAAGGTCCTCCATTGTGCATGTGGCAGGGCTCAGGTTGCAGCAGGTGGTCAGTGGTTTGTTCTTCTCCGCACTCGCATGTCGTGGAGTCCACTTTGTAGCCCCATTTCTTAAGGTTGGCTCTGCATCTCGTGGTGCCAGAGCGCAGTCTGTTCAGCGCCTTCCAAGTCACTCAGTTTTCTGTGTGCCCAGGAGGGAGTCTCTCATTTGGTATCAGCCATTGATTGAGGTTCTGGGTTTGAGCCTGCCACTTTTGGGCTCTTGCTTACTGGCGTGTTCCAGCGAGTGTCTCTGTAGATCTTAGAAAACTATTTCTTGATTTAAGTCGTTGACATGCTGCCTGATATCCAAACAGGGGATGAGCTGGAGATGTCACTGCCATTCACTATTGGCTGCCACTTCCCGGTGGATGTCAGGTGGTGCAATACTTGCTAGACAGCGTAGTTTCTCCAGTGGTGTAGGGCGCAGACACCCCGTGATAATGCGGCATGTCTCATTAAGAGCCATATCCACTGTTTTAGCGCGGTGAGATGTGTTCCACACTGGGCATGCATACTCAGCAGCAGAGTAGCATAGCGCAAGGACAGATGTCTTCACTGTGTCTGGTTGTGATCCCCAGGTTGTGCCAGTCAGCTTTCGTATGATATTGTTTCTAGCGCCCACTTTTTGCTTGATATTCAGGCAGTGCTTCTTGTAGGTCAGGGCACGGTCCAGAGTGACTACCAGGTATTTGGGTGCGCTGCAATGTTCCAGTGGGATTCCTTCCCAGGTAATCCTCAGAGCTTGGGATGCTTGTCTGTTCTTAAGGTGAAAAGCACATGTCTGTGTTTTAGATGGATTAGGGATCAGCTGGTTTTCCCTGTAATAGGCAGTAAGAGCACCTAGAGCTTCGGAGAGCTTCTGTCCAGCCATCTCAAAACTCCCTGCTTGAGCAGTAATGGCACAATCATCAACATAGATGAAACTCTCTGTCCCTTCTGGCAGTGGCTGATCATTTGTGTAAATGTTGAACATGGATGGAGCATGCACGCTCCCCTGAGGCAGACCGTTCTTCTGTTTCCGCCATCTGCTTCTCTGGAAGCAGAGAACTAGATGTTGATGAAACGTCAGGAGAGAATGCTTGTGGAACATGGCCAGACGGCCCAGAAAATTCACAGCAGCACAGATCCATGGTTGGTTGGGGCATTAGTCTTTACTTGGTTTTTGAAGGGATTGGGATGTCATTTCTTTCAATATATCTGAGTTCATTAAAAAGAATGAATGTTGGCCATTTACTTAGGAACAGCTTCCATTGTTACCCATGAAGAGTAATGAACAACAAATTCTTTTCCAGTTTGCAGTAATGTTTCCAATCTCTGGCTTCAGCTGCTTCTCAGCAATGCCCGGAGCTTCTGTGTCCTCTTTTCCACATTCTCTGTTTTTCTGCCAGGTGTGAAGCTGAGCCTTTCAACTCTGATCGATGGCAAGAATTTCAGCACCGGCAGCCATAAACTTGGGCTGGGATTTGAGCTGGAAGCTTAATGTAAGTGTTGGGTGAAGCATTAGATCTTTATCTGGAAGATGAAGGAGTAAAACGAACCCCTCCCACATGTTCTGGCCTTAAAACTCTTCTGTGAAACATCAAAAAGCGTGAACTTGATATTCTTCCAAAGAATTGTTGTAATCCCAACCAACCGAAGTCTGGAGAGAGTGCAAAAACCCCACCGCGAAGGGCAATACTTGAAGGTTGTGCTACATTTCAGTTCAGTTCCTCAGTTAATTTAAATTGTGTTCCTCAGGAGACAGCATAGCATCGGGTGAAAGGCAAGACCCCTCCCTCCTGTACCCACCCCAAATCCATCTGTTACTGTGTCACATCCTGCATGTCCTACACCTCATGACCTTTTGTTAAAACTGGTCTCTGTGCTGTAGTGAAAAGGCTTTGGTTTTACATCAAAGTGGAAATAAATCAAATCACATTTGGAACCAATTCCCTTGTAGTGCCTCTGTAGCATTGACTTGTATGTTTGGGTCCGACACCTCAAAGAAAGAGGGCAACAGGATTCCATGTTTCCTTTTGAGATCATTTCAGGCTGATTGCGTGTTTCCCACACAAGTGGTACTCAAAGTTTGGAAAAAATCAGTCCATCAGCAAATGAACTTTGGATGTGTTGTTTCATGGCCAGAATCACTGGATTGTGGTGAGTTTTCTGGGCTATACGACCATGTTCTGGAAGCATTCTCTTCTGACATTTTGCCCACATTTGTGACAGGCATCTTCAAAGGTTGTGAGGTCTCTTGGAAACGAGGCAAGTGAGGTTTATATATCTGTGGAATGTCCAGGGATGGAGAAAAACTCTTGTCTGCTTAAGGCAAGTGTGAATGTTGCAAATGGCCACCTTGATTGGCATTTAATGGCCTTGCAGCTCCAAAGCCTGGCTTATTGCCCCCTGAGGAAATCCTTTGTTTGAGGATGTTAACTGACCCTGATTGATTCATGTCCAGAATTCCCTCGTTTTTTAGTGTTGCTCTTTATTTGCTGTCCTGATTGTAGAATTTTTAAAATACTGGTTGTCAGATTGAGTTCCCACAGAAGTTGAGGAAGCAAGAAGCCATCTTTGCTCTCTCTGCTTCAGGTAAGCCTTGTCTTAGAGTGCATTAGAAATCTGAGTGTGTGTTTGAGTGCTGTGCTCTGAGTGTTGTTTTGTTTGGGAGGAGAGGCAGTGATTGATAGTTTCAGGGAAGCAGTTAGTGACTCATTGTTCCCTGTTCTTTGAAGCTCTCTGGGAGTAAGTGTTTGCTTCCTGTTTAACCTATATAAGCCAAGGCCTGAGCTCAAGTGGCAGTTGATTTCCCACAGAAGTTAAGGAAGCAAGAAGCCACACCCTCACTAACCCACACCTTTACTCCTGCATACAAAAAACAACATAAATACAATCTGAGAAATAATCTGGAATAAAAAATTAAGATACACATGTGCTTATGATCTAAAGGAAAATTTAATGAAAATGATGCATAGTTGGTACATGACACCACATAAATTTAAAAAAATTACAAAAACATAAATTCGAAACATTGGAAATGTGGGCAGGTGGAAGGAACCTTATACCACATGTGGTGGTCGTGTAAAAAAAACACAAGCTTTTTGGAAGGAAATACACAAAAATATACAAAAAAAATTAAAAATAAAGATACCCCTGAGGTCAGAAATATTTCTATTAGGAATAAATGAACAAAAATTAAATAGCAATACAGATAAACTCCTCTTTTTGGCAACAACGACTGCAAGAATATGTTACGCAAAAGTGTGGAGAAAAATAGATATACCCAAACTGGAAGATTGGAATAAAAAATTATGGGTGTAAGGAATATGGATAGATTAATTTATCTGATATCCAAAGGGAAGACAAGGTAAAAAAATAGATTGGATATTTATAACCGAATATTTAAAATAAAAAGAACAACAATTGAAGAAAGAAACGAAGTACCCACCACCCAACAGAGAGTAAAGAAGAGGGGGAGAAAGGAAGGAAAGAAGAGAAAGAAGAGGTGGATAGTGAGGAAAGAAGGAAAAGGGGAAAACCCTCCAGGAAGAAGCTCAGAAGTGTAACTTTCACTAATTCTATTTTCTTTTTTTCTTTTTTTCTGTCTTTTCTTCTCATAACATTTTCTGTAATCTGTAAATAGTCAATAAAGATTATTTAAAAAACACACACACTAAAGGGGAGGTTATTAGCAGTCTGCAGATGGAACAAACACAAAATCTTCCTGTCTCATGCACAAGCTGTGCCATGTTCAGCTTCTTCACACAACAATTATTCAATTACATTTGCCCCAAGTGCAAACAGATCACTCACATGGAACAGAGGATCCAACAACTCGAGGACTGTATTAAGACCCTTAAGGACATTCAGGAACTCAAGCGGTTCTTGGATACCACACAGCACACTGTCCTAGACACACAACCCATACCACACCAACATTATGGGGAGGCTCATGAGGAGATCACTTCAGATATGGACAACCCTCAGGCTTAGAGGAATGTCACCCTTAGAAAGACATAGGACCAGGAAGCCTCCTTAGAATACTTCTGCTCAGCTTTAGTTACACAATAGATTTCAAATTCTCTCACAACTAACACCTGACCAGGAAACACATCTTGGGGAAGATCAGAATGGCTTAGATACTGCTCAGTGGATCACCCTTGGTCAGTGTGCGGGGGATAGCCTTGACTGGGACAATACTTCACAGCATTCACACACATTCATGCAGATGTTCTATCCCCAATCATAGACGAGGTGCAACAGTAACACACACAGGAGAACGATAGGCTCTTGGACAAATCTCTAGATGAATGCACCAGGGATGTCGAGGAGGAGTACAACACTTTACACCAACACAATTCACTTCAATGGGATCACTTTTCTGGGAATCTACACACTATATTGCACAAAAGGGACCCTGTCAAACCTCAAAGTAAGCAGGTCTTGGTAGTAGGTGACTCCCTCCTTAGAGGAACGGAAGCCAGACCGTTCCTGGAAGCATATACAACAGATAACAACAACATTATCAAAATGACATTAAATAATAATAATAATAATAATATTAAAATTCCAATAGACACAATCACAATAGAGATGAAAATGGGTGGGCCACATATTCCGAATAAAAAACAATTAACAGACTATGATGAGATAAAATAGGAGCAGGATGTTTAAATGGAACTCACAGAGTTGTGGGACAGAACATCCTATTTGGAAGGCATGAACTCCATTAGCCAAAAATGTTGAGGGGGTGTAAAATATCATGCTGTGCACCTACTCGCCAAAGGGGCAGCGGAAAAACCAGGTTTTGAGGTTCTTTTTAAATGTTTCCAGTGAAGGGGCTTTCCTCATCTCCCCAGGGAAAGAGTTCCAAAGTCGGGGGGGGGGGGCACAGAAGAGAAGGCTCTCTCCCTTGTGTCCACAACATAAGCTTGTGAGATTGGTAGAGGCGAAAGGAGGACCTCCCCTGAGGAGCGAAGGGCCCGGGTTGGTACATGAGGTTATGAAGTTGTAGCGAAAATAACGTTATGGTTAGGAGTCACCACAACATGAGGAACTGTATTAAGGGGTCACAGCATTAGGAAGGTTGAAAACCACTGGCATAGAGTTATCTGCATAGCCCAGTCAACCCAACGAGCGGTTTCACCCTTTGAAAAATGGGATTGGCTTACCAACACGGAACATCTCTTTCCTAGTATTAGTTAGTCCCTCTGTATCTCTGAAGTCTGCAGTTCAGAATTAATATACACACAGGCCTTGGCTTTGGCACAAAGATACACTAGAAACTGTATAGTGGGTGAAAAAAGGTTTATTTGAGTAAAATGAACATTGTTTTGTGTGAGCAACAGTGAGTAATTGCTTTATCACTGAGAGCATCAGCTATATTCCTGTGAAGGCACCAGCAAAGAGAAAAGTTAGCTGTTCGGTTACTGAATGGACTTTTTCACATCTGGGTTTGTTCTAGGTTCTCTTTTTCTTCTGCTCGGAGTTTCAGCCAACTCCAATCCAGAGCCTAAAGACAAATGGCAAATGTTTGTTTAGTCACCTTATAGGTAAAGGCAGCAGCTAAAGTTTGTATCAGCCACTTAGTTAAGTATACTGTAAGTAGAATCATAGAGTTGGAAGAAACCCCAAGGGCTACCCAGTCCAATACCATTCTGCCAGGTAGGAAAACATCATCAAAGCTCTCCCGACTGATGGCCATCCAGCTTCTGCTTAAAAACCTCCAAGGAAGGAGATTCCACCATTCTCAAAGGAAACACATTCCACTTGTGGAGGGAGTGGGCTTATTAATAAAAGACCTTTCTCATAAACATATAGCAGAGTAACTTATTAGCAGCAGTGTGACCGAGCACCAGTAGCCCAAAGTGATAAAAAGAGCAAAAACACACAGACCAATGTTAATCTCTTCCATTGGAGGCTTTTCTTTATAGTAAACCTAGCTTGGGGACCCGGCGGTGCGCAGGTCATTTGAGAAAAGCATTACTTGTCTGTCATCCAAATTTAGTTTAGATTCCATGTGAGCTGGTTCAGTTGGAGCGTGTGAAGTGCAAGTCCATCATCCATGGTCCATTCCCCTCCAAACAGCACCAGGATGTACAGTGGGTCATGGGGGCTCTATGGGCCAAGTTTGGTCCTTATCGGTCTTTGTTGGGGGGCGCAGTGGTTTCGGGAAGTGAGTGGAGGTACTTCAAGTCCCATCATCCATTGTCCATCCTATGTGAAACAGCACCAGGATGTAGACTGGGACATGGGGGCTCTGTGTGCCAAGTTTGGTCTTGAGCAGTCATTGGATGAGGGTCACAGCGGTCTCGGTAAGTGAGTGCAGGTACTTCAAGTCCCATCATCCATGGTCCGCCCTCCTCTAAACTGAAGTAGGATGTAGAGTGGGTCATGGGGGCTCTGTGTGCCAAATTTGGCCTTTATCGGTCTTTGTTGGGGACCGCAGGGGCCTGTGGGAACTGAAGGGTTGGAAAGTACTAGAAATCCCATAATCCATTGTCCATCCTCCCCCAAACCTTGCCAGGACATAAAGGAGGTCATGGGGGTTATGTGTGCCAAGTTTGGTCTTGATCAGTCATTGAATGAGGATCGCAGTGGTCTTGGGAAGTGACTGAAGGTACTTCAAGTCTCATAAACCATGGTCCGCCCTCCTCCAAACTACAGTAGGATGTAGAGTGGGTCATGCGGGTTCTGTGTGCCAAGTTTGGTCTTTATCGGTCTTTGTTGGGGGCCGCAGTGGTCTGTGGGAACCAAAGCGTTTGAAAGTACTACAAATCCCATAATCCATTGCCTGTCCTCCCCCAAATCTCACCAGGACGTAAAGGGGGTCATGGGGGTTATGTGTGCCAAGTTTGGTCTAGGTCCGTCACGCGTGTTGGTCAGAGTGGCCTGTGAAAGTGGCAACCAATCAGAAAGCTGCCACATACACCGCCCTCCCTCCTCATACAAACATTAACTTTTATTATATACATAGATAATATAGTTGCACTATTTACAAGAACAAGGTTTCCATAACCCAAAGTTCTTTATACTTCTTTCTTTGCTTCCATGCTGGGCTTCTTCCTTATGCAGATAAACAGCTTTGCTCTCACACCGAACATACTGGAACTTCACACAGTAGCTTTTTTACACACAGTCTTTATACTGGAGCTCTAAACATGAGCTTTACACATGAGACCTTTAATCTGGGGCTTCTCTCACCAGGCCTTCCTCATACTTTGCCTTCTCATAGACTAAGGCCTACTTCACACAGAGGTTTCTCTCACAGACTAAGGCCTAGCCCACAGCTCTTCTTACAGGCAGCAAGTTCTTCCTAATGTTCAAGTGGAATCTCCTTTCCTGTGATTTGAGCCCATGGCTCCACTGAGTCCTGTTTTCCAGAGCAGCAGAAAACAACCCTGCTCTCTCTTCCTTATGACAGCCTTTCAAATATTTAAGCATGGCTGTCATGTCTCCTCTCAACCTTCTCTGATGCAAATTTTCCTTGTCCTACTTTACAGCATAAAATGACGTTACCATAAAACTGTGTTCTTGATCCTTCATGGTGTCCAGCATCACATTCTCCAGCTGACTGCAGAGAGTTTGGGATTCTGTCAGCAGCTCCTCACTAAGGGACAAATGAGAGAAGGTTTATATTGTTGGGCGAGTGGGCTTATTAACAAAAGACCCTCCCAGTAAATGCACAGCAGAGTGACTTATTAGCAGCAGTGTGACCCAGCACCAGTAGCCCAAACTGATAAAAAGAATAAAAATACAGACCAATGTTATATCTTCCTTTGGAGGCTTTTCATTGTACCAAAATAATATGGTTGCACTATTTCCAAAAACAAGGTTTCCACAACACAAATAAAGTGCTTCTACAATTGGCTTCTTTCTCATGCAGATAAACAGCTTGTTCGCACAAAGCCTCCTCTCACACCGAACTTACACAGGAGCTGCACACACAGTAGCTTTACACACTGTGGTGAAGTGTGCATTTTAATCTACAGTTATGTATGATTATAGATAGGCGTTTAAAATGGTATGTATTTAAACTAGCGTAACTGGGGAGGATGGTAGCCAGCTCAACTCACTTTGAGCTGGGTTGCCATGGAAAAAGGGGCGGAGCCAACTGCCACTTGGCAAGGCAGCCATTTTAAAACAGTCTGTAGTCAGCAAACTACAGGGAAGGCTGGTTCTGTTGTGTGTTGAGAACCAGAAAGGTAGTCTGTAGTCTAAGAACTACAGGGAAAGTCTGATTCTACTGCGTTGAGAATCAGGAAGGTTTTGGCTTTTAGCCTGTGTAGTTTAGATACGTCGAGTTGACTTATTTATATTAATAGTCAGTGTATGAGCAAAAAGGGGGAGAGAACCCTAATAAGAATCTTTATTGCAACAGAAATAATGTAAGGAAAGAACAAGCTTGTACCTGAAGTAATCTGTCAAAGAAAGAAACATATTTTGAAGGAAAATAAGTTCAAAACCTGTTTAGTGAAAGGAACAGTCCTCTTAAGAGTGATTTTATGAAATGTTATCAATGTAACCTCTGAAGATATGTGCCTCTAAGAGTTAAGAAACATTGAAACCATCAAGCTTCTATACGTCAATAAATTTGTTACAGTTTCTTCTAAAGCCAAGTCTCTGTTACAAATACTTTCAAGTTTAGCCACGCTACACATTTGAGAAAGACTAAATCAACATTACAAGCTATTAGTTGTGTTATCAATTTAGTAAGTCCTTATAAAGTGGTGGCTCCTTTACAAACCATTACAAATTGGGTGCTTTAGTTACAAATTGGTGGCCTCTTTACACACACCTTCAAACTGGAACTTTACTCACTACAGCTTCTCACACCAGGCCTTCTCACACTAGGATTCTCACACTGAGGCCTACTTCATACTGAAGCCTCTCCCACACTGAGGCCTCCCTTACTGAGACAAACTAATACTGAGGCCTACTAAGCTACATGCACACCTACTTATATTGAACTGCAGCTTTTACTGAGTCACTGCATCCATTCAACCCTTTCAGTGCTTGACCCACATATTTGTAATTAAAAATATCTAGTTAATTTTTAATATTTCTGACAGGTATTTCAACAAAACATCCCGTTAGGAATAAGTGTCACAAAGAAAGCCCTGTTGCTAGTCACTGCACATGTTTGCCAGGATCAGAAGAGTGGCATTGGACAGAATCTTCCTTCAATCCTGGGATTGTGGTGAGGGACAAGTTGTATAACGTCCCAACGGGATTCTGGCTTTGAGTCCCCACAATCTAGGGCAAGCATTACCTCTTTTCATTGTTCATCAAAATGGATTGCCAACTGTTTTTCTAAATTCTCTGTGTTTCAAAGGCACTTTGCCCTGTTGCTGAGGAAACACTTTTCAAGGAGAAAAGTAAACATAAAGCTCCAAATTACTGAGAATATTTTGGATCTGAGCCGTTGTTTTCAACAGAAAACTATTATTCTGCTGATTGTATAAAGAGGAAACTGGGGAATCGCTAAAATCACTACATAACTCCAAAGGAAAAAGTTCAAGATGAATGTTGTTGCGCTTGCAACAGTCCAATAGTGAAATGAAACCATAAAGATTCGTAGGTGATCCTTAGTGTCATAGAATCATAGAATCAAAGAGTTGGAAGAGACCTCATGGGCCATCCAGTCCAACCCCCTGCCAAGAAGCAGGAATATTGCATTCAAATCACCCCTGACAGATGGCCATCCAGCCTCCGTTTAAAAGCTTCCAAAGAAGGAGACTCCACCACACTCCGAGGCAGAGAGTTCCGCTGCTAAACGGCTCTCACAGTCAGGAAGTTCTTCCTCATGTTCAGATGGAATCTCCTTGTCGTTTGAAGCCATTGTTTCACGTCCTAGTCTCCAGGGCAGCAGAAAACAAGCTTGCTCCCTCCTCCCTGTGACTTCTTCTCACATATTTATACATGGCTATCATATCTCCACTCAGCCTTCTGTCCTTCCCCATTTGTTCTGCATACCAGTGTAAAGCAAAAGAGGGAATCTGTGTGCTTCCTCACATGATGCTAAATTGCAACTCCCAGTATTCCTCATACACTATTGTCCTGAGAGTTGCGAGGATCAACATCTTCACAATCTAATCCAGTGGAATTATGGCAGTGTAGACTCAAGATGGCTCAAGACCCTTCCACACAGCCATATAACCCAGAATATCAAGGCAGAATAATCCATAATATCTGCTTTGAACTGGAATATCTGAGTCAGGTAAAGTTAAAGGTTTTCCCCTGACAGGAAGTCCAGTCGTGTCCGACTCTGGGGGTTGGTGCTTATTGCCCTGGTGGTATGCTTGGGATTATTGTCATGCTGAAAAACCCAGCCACATTTCATCTTGAGTGCCCTTGCTGATGGAAGGAGGTTTGCACTCCAAATCTCACGATACATGGCCCCATTCATTCTTTCATTTATACGGATCAGTCGCCCTGGTCCTTTTGCAGAGAAGTAACTCCAAAGCATGATGTTGCCACCCTCATGCTTCACAGTAGGCATGGTGTTCTTTGGATGCAACTCAGCATTCTTTCTGCCTAACAGTTCTACTTTGGTTTCATCTGACCATATGACATTCTCCCAATACTCCCAATACAAAAGATGAGAGAGATCTTTTTAAGTGGGATAACTTGTACAATTGGTATCTGACTAAATACTTTTTTTCCCCACTGTACCTCAAGGTCATGTGACCGGCATGACTGCATGGAGAGCTGTTACCTTCCCGCCAGAGTGGTACCTATTGATCTACTCACATTTGCATGTTTTCGAACTGCTAGGTTTGCAGAAGCTGGGGCTAACAATGGGAGCTCACGCCGCTCCCCGGATTTGAACCTGCGACCTTTTGGTAAGCAAGTTCAGCGGTTTAACCCACTGCGCCATTGGGGTCCACACTGCCATATAATAATAATAATAATAATAATAATCCTTTATTTGTACCCTGCTACCATCTCCCGAAGGACTCGGTGCGGCTTACAAGAGGCCAAGCCCAAATACAACAATAAAACAGCAGCAGCAACAACAACACAATAACTCAAAAAACAAAGCAATAACAATTAACAACACCCAATGACGCAATTAAAAACAATGGCCGGGCCAAATGTAACAATTAAAACTAAAAAGTGCTGGGCATGACAAGGTGAGGTGTTTGGAGGGGGATGGGGATGCAGATACCCTGGATCTCTGATAAAGTGCGTTGGGACATAGTGCTAGGAGTTTCCTTATTCTGGAAAGGCACACTGGAACAACCACGTTTTCAAACTCCTCCTAAAGATTGCTAGCAACGGGGCCTGCCTGATGTCCTTAGGGAGAGAGTTCCAGAGTCGAGGGGCCACCACTGAGAAAGCCCTATCCCTCGTTCCCACCAATCGTGCTTGCGATGCAGGTGGGATCGTGAGCAGGGCTTCTCCAGATGAATGAAGAGATCATGTGGGTTCGTATACAGAAATGCGGTCACACAGGCAGGCAGGTCCCAAACCGTTTAGGGCTTTGTAGGTAAGCACCTGCACCTTGAATTGGGCCCGAAAAATGAATGGCAGCCAGTGGAGCTCCTTAAACAGGAGGGTTGACCTCTCTCTGTAAGGAGCACCAGTTAACAATATATTCCAATTCAAAGCAGATAATGCAGGGTTTTATTTAGCTGTGTGATTAGTGATAGGGAAGGAGTGGCAAGTGGCGTGAAAGGAGCAGTAATAAAATAAATAAAGGGGAAGGAGGCTCATGGACCAGATTTTCATCCTCGCGGCCCACAGGTTAAAAACCAATGCTCTAATTCTGGAGACGGAAAGGAATGCAATGTGAAGAACAGTGTTCCCAATCTTTTTTTTTTTGACCAGGGCCCACTCTCCAATATTAGTACCAAAAGGGACAAGAAGGAGGCTTGTGGACTGGATTTTCGTTCTTGCAGTCCACTGCTAGGCTGTGGCCCAAAGGTTGGGAACCCCTGGTGTAGAGCATCAGTGGAAAGGTAACCTGCAACAGGGACTGTTCCCTTTTCTGCATACCTTTTGATCCCAGTGTCCAATGCATTGCTCTGGGGTGCCGTGACCTGCAGCGGCAACTGGCTAGGACTGCTGAAGTGGCAAGGGTTCATGCTGTCCGGACTCCCGCTGACAGGACCTCGGACTTTGTTCTGCAAGGGGAAAACAACAGGATGTAAGCATTCTGTGCGCAAAATGAGGACCGACTATTTTTAGTAGGAGATACTATTACTAGGATCTAGGACAGGCAAAGGCAAACTTTGGCCCTCCAGGTGTTTTGGACTTCAACTTCCATAATTGTGGGAGTTAACGTCCAGAACATGTGAGAGGAAGCCACAGGGAGGAGGGAGCAAGCTTGTTTTCTGCTTCCTAGGAGACTAGGATGCAATGGAACAATGGCTTCAAACTACAAGAGAGGAGATTCCATCTGAACATGAGGAAGAACTTCCTGACTGAGAGCCGTTCAGCAGTGGAACTCTCTGCCCCGGAGTGTGATGGTTCTGTTAACCATTTCAAAGCTCCCTGCTTGAGCGATGATAGCACGAGCGTCAGCGTAGATGAAACTCCCTGTCTTTTCTGGTAGTGGCTGGTCATTTGTGTAAATGTTAAACACTGATGGAGCAGGCACACTCCCTTGAGGTGGGCCGTTCTTCTGTTTTCGCCATCTGTTTCTCTGACCCTGGAACTCAACAAAAAAGCTACTGTTTTGTAACAATTTCCTATGAAGTGGCTGAGGTGGTAGTCCTCAGAGCATGGTCCAGAGTGACATCCAGGTGTTTGGGTGTGTTCCAATGCTCCAATGGGATTCCTTCCCTGGTAATCATCAGACTCAAGATGCTTGTCTGTTCTTAAGGTGAAAAGCACACATAGAATAATAGAATCATAGAGTTGGAAGAGACCTCGTGGGCTATCCAGTCGAACCTCATTCTGCCAAGAAGCAGGAAAATTGCATTCAAAGCACCCCCGATAGATGGCCATCCCACTACTGCTTTAAAGCTTCCAAAGAAGGAGCTCCACCACACTTCAGCGCAGACAGTTCCACTGCTGAACAGTAGAACTCTCTGCCAGGAAGTTCTTCCGAATGTTCAGGTGGCTTCAAACTACAAGAAAGGAGATTCCATCTGAACACAAGGAAGAACTTCCTGACTGTGAGAGCCGTTCAGCAGTGGAACTCTCTGCCCCGGAGTGTGGTGGAGGCTCCTTCTTTGGAAGCTTTTAAACAGTGGCTGGATGGCCATCTGTCAGGGGTGATTTGAATGCAACATTCCTGCTTCTTGCTAGGGGGTTGGACTGGATAGCCCATGAGGTCTCTTCTAACTCTTTGATTCTATGATTCTAACACTTGGAGGGCCAAAGTTTGCCCATGCCTACCTTAACATAATTTAATTACCTTAACATTATGGCCACAAAATAGACTAGTGCCCCTTGCTAAAGAAACTTGTTTGGAACTTGTTCTGGCTTGGTAACCCCGAATAAGATCATCTGAAAGAGCTATGGTTAAACAAAGTGATTCAATTTACTTCTAAGAATCTGCATATCACACTGGCACTCTGGTGAACTTAGGAAATATGACAATGGAGAAAAGTCTGCACAGACAGCCGAGTCAACTGGGCAGTTATTACTATTCCATCTTTCCCAACTGGAGGAAAAAGTGGCACGCAAGAAGACAGATCTTCCGCTTCACTCACACAGGCAATTTTCAGCAGGTTCCAGAGCTCCTTCTGTCGTTTCTCCTGAAGTCCGACCACTGTTTTCTCATCTTCCTTCATCAGACTCATCACTTCATCTACTTTAGGAAACAATTCCAGTGCCTTTTGCTTACAGACAACTGTGTTACTGGATTAAAAAAAAACAATAACAGTCTAGTCATCCATCAGCAGGAGGCAGTGGGTGGGTAGGGATATGCTCTTCATGTCAAGATCACCGTATCAGCCTGGGACTGGCTGCTTCGGTTCTCTGCCATAAAGAAGGGAGGTGAAGGGAAGAGAGGCTGGGTACAGCTGGGGAAGGTAGTGTAGATAAGACATCTGTTTTGCGAGGGAAATTTGAAACTGCAATTAACGGACCACTAGGGGGTGGATGGGAGTTGGGGCTGATATATACAGGAGGTTTGAGCGGGAAAGCTTTAGAACTGTCTTTTTAGGATTGTGGAAAGAAGGAATAAACCACTTGTCTCCAGCATTTTATTGTTGTGAGCTTGATTTTAACTCCCAAGATCTTCCAGAGTCTGACCATTCATCAACATTTACTGTTTCTGGACAGGGAAGAGGCAGTGTCAGTGTTGTAAAACCTCCTGTAGGTCCAGGGGAATGGCACAAGTTCCTCTTTGGAACGAGCTCCAGAGGGTCCTACCTGAGCTGAACATAAAGGAGGCGGACTTTCTTCTCAAAGGTTTGGATTGCTTGCAGGAGCAGCCGCACAACCTCTTGGCAGTCTCCGCTGGTCCTCTGATCTGGAGAAAGTAGTAGGGGATATATTTGTGCAAGCACACATGTCAGGAAGACTTTTTAAACAAAGGTTCTTTTTATTACAATTTTCAGTGTATGGGAGTATATTTATTTATTTATTTACTTCATTTATATGCCGCTTTTCTCAGCCCTCAGGTGACTCAAAGCGGTTAAAAACAGCAAAATTCAATGCAAAACATCACAAAACAAATATGGGACAGTTAAAAACAGTAGCACCATCAACAATTAAACATCAATATAACAATAATTAGCGTCTCATCAGTAAAATCAGAATCTAATCTCATCACCCATTATTCCGTATTCCTATATTCAATTACACTGCTTAATCGAATGCTTGTTCGAACAGCCAGGTCTTCACTTTCCTCCGAAACGCCAACAGGGAGGGGGTCGATCTGATATCTGTAGGAAGGGTGTTCCACAGCCGAGGGGCCACCACTGAGAAGGCCCTGTCTCTTGTCCCCACCAGGTGCGCCTGTGATGCAGGCAGGACCGAGAGCAGGGCCTCCCCAGATGATCTTAATGCCCTAGTTGGTGCATAGGAGGAGATGCGTTCGGAGAGGTAAGTAGGGCCAGAACCGTTTAGGGCTTTATAGGCTAACGCCAGCACTTTGAATTGTACCCGGTAGCAGACTGGCAGCCAGTGGAGCTGGCGCAACAGAGGAGTTGTATGCTCCCTGAGTGCCGCTCCTGTTAGCATCCTGGCTGCTGAGCGCTAGACCATTTGAAGCTTCTGAGCAGTCTTCAAAGGCAACCCCACGTAGAGAGCGTTGCAGTAGTCTATACCGGATGTAACCGGAGCGTGGACTACCGTGGTCAAGGCAGACTTCCCAAGGTACGGGCGCAGCTGGCACACAAGTTTTAACTGTGCGAATGCTCCCCTGGTCACCGCTGAAACCTGAGTTCTGTATATCAAAACTTTTACAGAACTTTTACACAAATAATGACATTGGACATACAGATTTTATGTAACTACATTGGATTTACAGACAACTTACAATTACATTAGCTAACAAACAAAGGGGGTTCCATTTTTACTCAGCAGTCACACTACATATTCATGCATACAGCAGCATGCATACAGCATGCATTTCAGTCAACAGTCTGCATGTATGTCTACAGAATCCTGCTTTCCCGTAGCACAGTGTTTCTCAACCTTCCTAATGCCGTGACCCCTTAATACAGTTCCTCATGTTGTGGTGACCCCCAACCATAACATTCTTTTGCTACTTCTTAACTGTAATTTTGCTCCTGTTATGAAACATAATTTGGGAGTTGTAGTTGTTGGGATTTATGGTTCACCTACAATGAAAGAGTATTCTGAACTCCACCAACGATGGAATTGAACCAAACTTGGCACACAGAATGCCCACGACCAACAGAAAACACTGGGTTTGGTGGGCACTGACCTTGAGGTTGGGAGTTGTAGTTCACCTACAGAGAGCACTATGGACTCAAACCATGATGGATCTGGACCAAACTTGGCACAAATACTCAGTATGCTAAATGTGAACACTGGTGGAGTGTGGGGAAAATAGGCCTTGACATTTAGGAGCTGTAGTTGCTGGGGTTTATAGTTCACCTACAATAAAAAAGCATTCTGAACCCCACCAATGATAGAATTGGGCCAAACCTCCCACACAGAACCCCCATGAACAACAGAAAATGCTGTGTTTTCTGATGGTCTTTGGTGACCCCTCTGGCACCTCCTGGTGACCCCTCCAGGGGTCCCGACCCCCAGGTTGAGAAACACTGCCGTAGCAGATCTGACACTCTTCATACACCTTCTCTATCCTTCCCATGGAGCAGAGGCGGGTGAACAGCTCTGCTGTCTGTTACACTTGAGAATTATTAGATTGAGTCTTTTATAGGAATATTCTACTGATGTAGTAAATAATTGTCCTGATTGAAATTATCTTGAGTCTTCACCTTCCGACACAGATGTTGATCTTTTGGTAACAAACCATTGTGTTCTGAGTTTTACTTGAAAGAGCATTGTCTTTGACTAATGTAAACAGAGATAATTTCCTTTAGAGTTAATCCAGTTTCTGGTGAGCAAATGTTGGCAGATGTAAACAGCCCTTACCTCGTGGTTTTTCCCTCAGTTTCCGGTACAAGTCCCTTGCTTGTTCCTCTCTGCAAACAAAATAGGAAAACACAAACAGGCACAGGATAGTTTCCCAGGATCTTAGAAACAGAAGGAATGATGCAAAATGGGAGAATGAGTTAATTAATATCATAAGACAAAAAATGCAGATTTTTTTTCCGTGTCAGGAGCGACTTGAGAAACTGCAAGTCGCTTCTGGTGTGAGAACAGACCATCAGCAAGGCCGCTGCCCAGGGTACGGCCGGGTGTTTTACCATCCTGTGGGAGGATCTGTCATGTCCCTACATGAGAAGCTGGAGCTGGCAGATAGGAGCTCACCCTACTCTTCAGATTTGAACCGACCTTTCAGTCAGCGGTCCGCATGTATGTCTGCAAAGACGTTGCCCAGGGGACACCCAGATGTTTTACCAACCTGTGGGAGGCTCTCTCATGTCCCTACATGGAAAGCTGTAGCCGACAGACAGGAGCTCACCCCACTCCCCGGATTTGAATCGCCGACCTTTCAGTCAGCAGTCCTGCCAGCACAAGGGTTTAACCCACTGCACCAACGGAGGCTCCTAACAATAAAAGCATTCCTTTCCTGAATGCCTTCTAGCTAATACTTATGGTAAGAAATAAAATTGTTTTTGTTATTGTTGTTGCTGTTGTTATTACACTTATGTAACAAAAATTGGAGGGAAAAACTGCTCATGGTTTGGAAGTATTATTTCCCATTTAACTGTGTGGCACTTCCTTCGAAAGTCGTTGTTATACTGCAGAAACTTCATTTTTGTGACTGCCACAAACTATGTTGAATTGGTTGAGACTCAATGAGATACTCATTGAAAAACTAGAGCAAAATGTGCTATAGCAAGATGTCCCTTCTGCAGAAACAAAGTTTTGGCAGTTTCCGAATTGAACCCATCCGGAAATGACATTTTAACTCAAGAACAAAAATTGTATTACACAGCGTTATAATGATTATTTTAGTGGGGCATCCCAGACCAGAAATTCTCTTCCGTAGAATCTAAATTTCTTTAGATATGGAAGGCAGCAATCATAGAATCATAGAATCCTAGAGTTGGAAGAGACCTCATGGGCCATCCAGTCCAACCCCCTGCCAAGAAGCAGGAATATTGCATTCAAATCACCCCTGACAGATGGCCATCCAGCCTCTGTTTAAAAGCTTCCAAAGAAGGAGCCTCCACCACACTCTGGGGCAGAGAGTTCCACTGCTGAACAGCTCTCACAGTAGGAAGTTCTTCCTCATGTTCAGATGGAATCTCCTCTCTTGTAGTTTGAAGCCATTGTTCCCGTCCTAGTCTCCAAGGAAGCAGAAAACAAGCTTGCTCCCTCCTCCCTGTGGCTTCCTCTCACATATTTATACATGGCTATCATATCCCCTCTCAGCCTTCTCTACTTCAGGCTAAACATGCCCAGCTCCTTATGCTGCTCCTCATAGGGTTTGTTCTCCAGACCCTTGATCATTTTAGTCGCCCTCCTCTGGACACATTCCAGCTTGTCAATATCTCTCTTGAATTGTGGTGCCCAGAATTGGACACAATATTCCAGGTGTGGTCTAACCAAAGCAGAATAGAGGGGTAGCATTACTTCCTAGATCTAGACACTATGCTCCTCTTGATGCAGGCCAAAATCCCATTGGCTTTTTTTGCCGCCACATCCCATTGTTGGCTCATGTTTAACTTGTTGTCCATGAGGACTCCAAGATCTTTTTCACACGTACTGCTCTCGAGCCAGGCATTGTCCCCCATTCTGTATCTTTGCATTTCGTTTTTTTCTGCCTAAGTGGAGTATCTTGCATTTGTCACTGTTGAACTTCATTTTGTTAGTTTTGGCCCATCATCTCTCTAATCTGTCAAGATGGTTTTGAATTCTGCTCCTGTCCTCTGGAGTATTGGCTATCCCTCCCAATTTGGTGTCGTCTGCAAACTTGATCATGCCTTCTAACCCTTCATCTAAATCATTAATAAAGATGTTGAACAGGACCGGGCCCAGGACGGAACCCTGCATGTTTTCGAACTGCTAGGTTGGCAGAAGCTGGGCCTAACAGCGGGAGGTCACACTGCTCTCCAGATTCAAACCTGCAACCTTCTGGTAAGCAAGTTCAGCAGCTCAGCGGTTTAATCCATTGTGCCACTGGGGCTCCTTAACATAGATAGAGGTGTATACACACACGTATATATATATATATATATACACCCACAGAGGTTTTCCCATCTTCGGCACCTTGGAGGCTTGTGCTCGCTTCCGGCCACGGGGGTGGGGGGGGGGGAGCTGTCGCTCCATCTCCCTGCGGAAAAACTTTATTCATAAGCTTCCTCCTGTTGATCGAATTGCCAGGATTTTTCTGGCATTTCCTTATGGGTGCCTAAATACCTCCCTATCTACTCACATTTTGCTTTTCCTGACCCAGGTTTTGAACTGTCAACCTCTTGATTGACAAGATTTAATGCAGCTGGCAGTTTAACCTGGTGTGCTAAAGCACAGGCGTGCCGGGTGTTAGGAATCAGAGGGAGAGCCAAAGTTGGCCCATGCCTGGCCCACAAAAACCAAATGAAAATGGCTTGGTTACTAAAGTTATAAGAAGTAATGAGCTGTATTAAGAAATGAGGAGAAGCAATTGTATGTAATAGAGATGTCATAGAGTTGTTAAGAAGTTGAAAGAACAAATGAATGTTGTACTTAAGAGTTAAGATGTTAGAGTTATGCAGATTACATGTATGTATTAGAGTTATAGAATCACATTTAAAAAGAGGGGGCATTGTCAGGATTAATTTAGTTATGTGTGTGTTTTAAATGTGCTTTATGTATTTCCAAGATGGATTCCACTGTGTATTAGAAATGCTGTGCAGAATGTTTATTCCATGAGACTGATTATGTAACCTTGAGAGAAGTAAGATAATGCTTGCTCTTGCTGGGAACAGAAGGGAGTAACTAGTTTCAGCAAGAGAGAAGAGATAAGCAGATGTGAAGAGACTTTCGTTTTGAGTAGTTCCTGAATTGTAGCTCGCTGTAGTAAGACGTGTCTTTTGAATGTGCTTAGTAAAACTTAGTTTCTTTTGTAACTGAAAGCCTTCAGAGTCCTTATTTACAACACAGTGTCTGCTGATCTAGCAATCCTTCTGCTGTGCACCGCCAAACTCTGACAATTCAGACATCAAATGACTTCTGCATGACACCTGCTTTTGCTGAACCATATTGGAAGGTAGTAAAGGACAATCTCTTTGGGGAGACATGGTTTTGAAAAAAAGCAAGAGCTCCTTACAGGTCATCCAGGGAGCTGCCTTGTTTTCGGCCCTGAGGGATTCTCTGCAGGTCCACAATGTCTGTCTGGAGGGCCATGGTTTTCTTCACCAACTGATCAACGTCCTCCTCCTTTGGAGGAAAAGAAGGGACACAAAAGACCGAGGAGATGCTTAATCCTACGGTAAGATGGCAAGCACAGGCTGCAGGGAGTGAGCAAGAAATAATCTGTCTGGGGAAAACTCTAGTGCAAATAGAGCTTTAAAAAGTTAACTGTTACCCTTCCGCGCAGCTCGATGGCCTGCTCCATTTCCTTCCATGCGAGCAAAAGCTTCTCAGAGGCTGTAAAAGAAGCAGAGCAATGATATCTAGGCTATGAACAACCATGTTATTTTACTACAAAGCATAGTCTTCGAAGGAAGAGATAACATTGGTTGACAATACATTGGTCTGTTTGTTTTTGTTCTTTTTATCACTTTGGACTACTGGTGCTGGGTCATGCTGCTGCTAATAAGTTACTCTGTTGTACATTTATGAGGTGGGTCTTTTGCTGATATGCCCACTTAGCCCAACACCGCCAAGACCCATTCTCGTGAGGTGTCCCAGAAGGATACCGTGGTCTACGGTATCGAAGGATGCCGAGAGGACCAGGAGAACCAACAGGGACACACTCCCCCTGTCCAGTTCCCTACACTGATCACCAACTTAATTCCATGTCCCGGCCCAAAGCCAGACTGTGCCAAATCCAGATGTTGTCAAAGAAATCTTTCCCTTGCAGCATGAAATGGTCAAGCCCACCTATAATATAATGGCGACAAGAGAAACAAACATAGGGGCAACCACTCATGTCCCATGTGGAAGAGTGGAACACTCACTGATTCCAAACTGGATTTGCTCGTTGTACTTCTCCAAGTCAATCTGGATGCTGGCTTTGAAGAAGTCCAGCTTTGCCTTCAGCTGCTGGGAAAGGGAGGCCATGTTGTTCTTCATCTTCGAAAGGGTGCTGTTGTGCCGCAGGAGGTTCCTCCTGTCAAGAGAGAGGAGAGGAAAGGCCACCCCTCTGTAGGAAACCATTGGACGTTGGACCTGACTCTTCATTACGGATAGTCAGGTCCAACATCCAATGGTTTCCTACATTAATTTGGATGCTGGCAAACTGTCTCAGTTTAGCAGGGAAGGAAGTGGGAATGTGCTCTCTTTTCTCTTCCCATCAAAGCCACTGAATTCCTTTTCAGCTCCTGACAGCTGGGAAAAATTTTGGATGCAGAACGAAGATTCAGAGAACAGCATTTGCACACCCTCCATTAAAAAAAAAAGGCATAAATACCAAAATCAGGGGCAGGGGGTGGGTTCAAACCCTCCGGTCACTTACATGGCCGCCCGCTGACCATTTTGGAGCTGGTTAAAGTCCTCATTCAGGCGTCGGATGGAGTGCCAGACCTGCCCCCACACTTTGCGCAGCTGGAAGAAGGCAAGAGTTTTCTTTGGATCTTGAACTGCAGGAGAAACAGGAGTTATTATTATTATTATTATATGATACATAACAAGATTAGTACACAGCAAACAAGATCAGTATGCTGGCTTTTGTATTTGATCACATGATGGACACTTCCCAAGTGCAGATCCAAGCAGGGTGCCCTTTTACAGCTGGCAGATGGTAATTTTGTCAGCGCCAATTGTGTTTAAGTGCAGGCCAAGGTTTTTAGGTACTGCACCAGTGTGCTTGATCACCACTGGGACCCCCTTGACTGAGTCTTCGCAGTTCTATCTTTAGATCCTCATAACGTATAAGCTTTTCCAGTTGCTTCTCATCAATTCTGCTGCGAAGCAACTGGAAAAGCTAACTGCTACTACTGAAACTACTATTTCCCGAGTGTCTTTGGGACCACTTCCTGCCTACTTTCTTCTTTCTCCAGCTCTGAGTGCTTACCTCACAGTGTCTCCATGGCAACAGGGGTCTTCATGCTTCCCTTCTCCTCCAACTTGTCACCTTCCTCCCCCAGTGACATCACAAAGGACCACTTCACCTAGCACCAGCCAACCCAGTGACATTGTAGAGGGCCACTCCACCTAGCAATAGCCTTCGTGCTACAGACTTTTGACTTATATGCCTGGGCATCCTTGTTTCCGCCTACCTCCTTTCCTGTTCATAGTGACAGCATATTAATAATTGTTGTTGTATTTCCTATTGGCCTTCTGGTGACTCGAGGTGGGGCATAACAAAATTAAAACACTTCATCATAAAACCTTATGTAAACTGCACCTATTAAAAATGCAGAGAACATAGATTAAAATATGGTAAACACAGGACATGAGTTTTAAATGAGTTTTAAATTACACCAAGTAGATACACTAGTTATAATTAATAATTGCCTGGGAATTTTCCAAAATCCAGAAACGGTCCTGTTAGCATTACACAAGAATTTGTCATGAAGTAGGATTCCATTTTCTTGTGCACTCCATCACCTGTCATGACTATCCAAAGAAGAACATGTGATTTAGGTGTTACAAAATCTGAGGTTCTTGGTGCAAAAAAGAGGAAAAATCACAGTTCTAATCTCAAAAGCAGCCAACATTCCTCACACAGTGGTTCCCAACCTTTGACCCTCCAGGTGTTTTGGACTTCAACTCTCAGAAATCCCAGCCATCTTACCAGCTGTTAGGAATTGTGGAAGCTGAAGTCCAAAACACCTGGAGGACCAAAGGTTGGAAACCACTGCAGTATAGTTTCTCCTGCAAACAACCCATTGTCCTTTTCCCAACCCAGCAGAATTATTCACAGGGATAATTCTTACGGATGCAGTTAATGTTGTCTGGATGGGGCTGCGGGGAAATCTGAGACTCGTAGGTGACTTTCCGGTTGTCAAAGAGGAAAAAGAGGCCAATGTCAGCAGCCGTGGCATCATTTAGCTGTGAGGGAAGGCAACATAAATTCAATAAGACTGGCAAACCACAGCTATAGAGAGACAATTATCAGTGCAATTTGCTGGTCAACTTCTTATCATCCAGTTAACTGACTTCAGTCAGTTGTTTCTGCTTCAGTAGCGGCTCTTATCTTTATTTACATCACGTTCATTACAATAACACTTACTCGTTAACACAGTCAGATGCAAGGGAGAAGAGCAAGAGACAGAACAATGGCGTCTGTTATATTTATACCCCATTGTTATCAGTTCATTAATTCAGTGTCCAGCCTCCTCATATCTATTGCAACATTGTTCTTGTCTGTTCTACGCATACTTCATAATGTCCTACAAGTTAACATTTTCACAGCTAGCAGCATGGACATTTTGAACTTGTACAATATAAGCATGTGGACAATTTCAACAGAAAGGAGGAGACCATGAAAATGAACAAAATCTGGCTACCAGTATTAAAAAACTCTAAAATTACAACAGCAAAATAGCAGAGAGGAAACAACCAGGCACATCTTAACACCTCTCAAAAAAAGATTCCCCCAGGCTCAGCCAGGCCTTCAAATGCTAATGAAGGTGGTCAGTTGAAACATTCACACCTAGCTCAAGCAGAGAAGAGCTCTTTGCCCCACCCCAGTCATTCCACAGATATATAAACCGATTTTCCTAATTCCAACAGACCTCACTACCTCTGAGGTTGCTTGCCATAGATGCAGGCGAAACGTCAGGAGAAAATGCCTCGAGAACATGGCTATATAGCCCGAAAAAAACCCACAAGAACCTAGTATTTCTCTCACTTCCTGTTGTTTCAGCCCCGTTCTCAACTAAGGGTTGTTAGTAACTCAGGGACTGCCTGTAAACAGTTGAAGGGGAAGGAAGGCTTCCTTGGTTCTACTGAAAGCATTTCAACAGCAATGAGAGCTGACTTAGCACCTCTACATAAAAAATGCAACTAGACTTTACCTTGATGTCAGCTGTATACTGAATGTCCGGCTTCTCGGGAAGCAAGGCCAACCCGCCTTCTTGCAGCAGCTCTTGGTCCTGCTCTGGGATGCCGGTCTGAGCCTCGACCTTGGCTTTGATGCTCTGCAGGGTTTCCTCCTCGCCCAGAGGGAACACATGCACAAGGCCAGTGACCATGTTCAAGATATGGACAAGCTACGGGGGGAGGAAAAGGAAAGCAGAAAGAAACCCAAACAGATGCTTGTCATATCTCAAACATCACCTCTCTTGTTCCAGAAGCAGTGTATTAAATCAATAAAGAGGTCCAATTCTAGCAAAATCTCTCCCATTCCCTATCAGAGAAGGCCTAGATAACAGGAAATGTGTATACAATCTCTAGAGTAGCATATCTCAACCTGGGAGTCAGGACCCCTGGGGAGGTCGCGAGGGGGTGTCAAAGGGGTTGCCAGAGACCATCTCTAAACACAATATTTTCTGTTGGTCGTGGGGATTCTGTGGGGGAAGTGTGGCCCAATTCTATCATTGGTGGAGTTCAAAATGCTGTTTCATTGTAGGTGAACTATAAATCTCAGCAACTACAATTCCCAAATGTCAAAGTCTATTTTCTCCAAACTTCACATGTGGGAAAATTGAGTATTAGTGCCAAGTTTGGTTCAGACCCATCACTGTTTGAGTCCACCATGCTCTCTGGATGTAGGTGAACTACAACTCCGAAACTCAAGGACAATGCCCACAATCCCAGCAACTACAATTCCCAAATGTCAAAGTCTATTTTCTCCAAATTTCACATGTGGGAAAATTGAGTATTAGTGCCAAGTTTGGTTCAGACCCATCACTGTTTGAGTCCACCATGCTCTCTGGATGTAGGTGAACTACAACTCCAAAACTCAAGGACAATGTCCACCAAACCCTTTCAGTATTTTCTCTTGGTCATGGGAGTTCTGTGTGCCAAGTTTGGTTCAATTCCATCGTTGGAGGAGTTCAGAATGCTCTTTGATTGTAGGTGAACTACAACTTCCAAATGACAAAATGACCCCCCCCCTTCTAACCCCAAAAATATTCAAATTTGGGCGTATCAGGTGACAAATTTGGTCCAGTGAATGAAAATATATCTTGCAGATCAGATATTTACATTATGATTCATAACAGTGGCAAAATTACATTTATGGAGTGGCATTGAAAATAATGTTATGGTTGGGGGGTCACCACAATATGAAGAACTGTATTAAGGGGTCATGGCATTGGGAAGGTTGAGAAACACTGCTCTAGAGAATTCTGTCTCAAGGCAACTCAGATTCTCTAAGAGACATACAAATTTGAGTTTGGAATTTCGGAGGCAAATGTGTTGTTTTCTTCCATGTATTCTGAGGTGAATAATAATAATCATCATCATCATCATCACTGAGGAAAAACAACAGGAAAAACTCAGCCGCTTTCAGGACCTCAAAATCGAATTGCAAAGGCTCTGGCATAAACCAGTACAGGTGGTCCCAGTGGTTATCGGCACACTGGGTGCTGTGCCAAAAGATCTCAGCCAGCATTTGGAAACTACAAATATTGACAAAATCATGATCTGTCAACTGCAAAAGGCCACCTGACTTGGATCTGCGTGCATCATTCGAAAATACATCACACAGTCCTAGACGCTTGGGAAGTGTTCGACTTGTGATTCTGTGATACAAAATCCAGCATATAGATCTCGTTTGCTGAGACATACTGTGCTTTTGTGTCAATAATAATAATAATAATAATAAGGTAAAGGTTTCCCTTGACATTAAGTCTAGTCGTGTCTGACTCTGCGGGGGCTGGTGCTCATCTCCATTTCTAAGCCAAACAGCCAGGATGACCACATGGAGCACTGTTACCTTCCCGCTGGAGCGGTACTAATTGATCTACTAACATTTGCATGTTTTCGAACTGCTAGGTCAGCAGAAGCTGGGGCTAAGAGCAGGAGCTCACCCCACTCCCTGGATTCAAATCGCCAACCTTTGGTCAGCAAGTTCAGCAGCTCAGTGGTTTATTTATTTATTTATTTACACCATTTCTACCCCCCCCCCCTTCTCACCCCTGAGGGCACCTAACACAGGCAACAATTCAATGCCAACAGTATCAATAACAACGATATAAACCAACAATATAAAATCCTATTACATAACAATCAAACAGTGATATTAATTAAAATTACATAATCACATAGAACAAATCACATAATCACAAGTCATATAGCCGTTTCCAATTTTCACAACAGTCCTATTGTCTGAGTTCAGTGCCTAAAGTGCTATTGTGTCCATTAGCCAAATGCCTAGCTCTAAAACCACGTCTTTAGTTTTTTCCTAAAAAGTAGGAGGGAGGACACCTACCTAATCTCGCTGGGGAGCAAATTCCACAAGCGGGGGGGGGGGGGGGGGGGGGGGGGGGGATCACCACCGAGAAGGCCCTGTCCTTGCTGCATAATATTTTATTTATTCCTCGTGTCTCCTGATGGCTCGAGGCAGATACAACAAATTCAGAAACAAATGAACTCAAAAATACAATAAATTACTAATTTACATAAATGGAGCCCCGGTGGTACAGTGGGCTAAACCACTGAGCTGCTGAACTTGCTGACCGAAAAGTCGGCAGTTTGAATCCAAGTTAGAAAGTTTGCCTATGCCTGGTTTAGACTATGATGCACGTCTCATAAAAATGTTTTAACACAAAAATTTATATTTAAGTTAGAAGGTACCCATTTCTTTTGCAAAACATTTGGATCAACGGGCCCTCATTTGCAATAGGTGCAAATGAGGGCCCGTTGATCCAAATGTTTTAAGTTAAACCCTCCAGCTTGCTCTATCTGGCCAAAGCATACAGGGCGTATGCACATTGCTGTTTGCACAACTCTTGTGTTTCGTTCTTCTTGATTGAACATACTTTTAGGTTCAAGATATCATCCAGAGCCTTGAAGCAGCCATTGGCACCGTAGGTGGGATCGGTGCCTCTCTGCCGTGGGTGCCATTTGAGCATAAGCTGCAGCCATTTCTCCAGCCGATCGACCAAAACGCTGCGAACGCAAATGTGAAAGAGGAATGGTAGGAGAGAAAAAAAGCAATGCTTGGAGCAGCATAACCAAAATATTGTATGGGAATACAAAAGGCAAAGAGAACCAGACATCTTTTCTAAAACACCTTTTTCTGGCGAGAATATTCTCAGAACTTCATGTATAGAAGTCACCTGCAGTCAAATTTCAAATCCGGCTTTAAAACCAGACATAAATACAAGGAAATTGGGCTTTCTTTGATATGTAACAAGCCTGTTTACCTGTTCAAATTATTAGGGCGTGGCAATTTGCTAGAAAATTTCACTTCTCCATTCAAGTCTTCATAGACGACAATATCCAGCTCACTCTTCTGCCGGACCTTTGTATGCCTAAGAACAATATAAACCACTTGGTATGAGAAGAGGTTGCCTGCTTCCTTTTATGACTCTGTTAGAATGACAATCCTGACCCTGCTTTGCCATCAAGACACCAACAACACATTCCTCTGCAAAAAGGCTATTGGGCTGATTGGGCAAATGCTTCTCCTTTTATCTGTTTTTAATCGTTTCCCCCCTTTTTTAAATCTTTTTTTTCGCACATTTGAGCATATTGAGTATTTGTGCCAAGTTTGGTTCAGATCCATCATTGTTTGAGTCCACAGTGCTCTCTAGATGTAGGTGAACTACAATGCCAAAACTCAAGGTCAATGCCCACCAAATCCTTCTAGTGTTTTCTGTTGGCCAGGGGAGTCCTGTGTGCCAAGTTTGGTTCAATTCCATCGTTGGTGGAGTTCAGAATGCCCTTTGATTACAGGGGAACTATAAATCCCAGCACCTACATCTCCCAAATGACAAAATCATGATTTTTGAGTGATGGTCATTCCCTGTGTTGTGAGACGTTTTGTTGCCAAATTTGGTGTGATTTCGTCCATTGGTTCTTTTGTTTTTAAGGTACTCATTACGCACAGAATATATATATATATATATATAAAAATAAGATGATGATGATGGTTATTATTATTATTGGACTAGAGAACTACACCTATACATTCCTACAAAGACCTCCAGTATTTTTTGTTGGTTATAGGGGTTCTGTGTCCCAAGTTAGTTCCAGGTCCATTGTTAGGTGGAGTTCAGAGTGCTCTTAGAATGCAAGTTCACTCTGAACATCCCAGTCCCTACAACTCCTATAAATTATGGTGAACTCTCCCCAAACCTCTCTAGTATGTTCAGTTGCTGATCAATTTCTCTGTTTGCTGTGTGCCATAGAAAATAATAGGAAAAGGTTAGGGGAAAGGCAGTGGGCAGGGTCATGCAAATTCCCCACCAATTGAGAGACTCAGAAACACAGTGATGTCTGTGGTGGAGGAAACACATGAAATCCAGGATGAAATTATCCCCAAATGAAAGCCTTCACTTGGGTGGTAGGCAGTATGGTGTTTGTGGAGGACATTGGCAGGGCTCTTGGACATAATCATTGGAGGGAAGGCCATTGATGTCTCCTGTGTAATGGGAGGTATAGCTGTTTGTGGAAGCAGGAGCCTGCCTGTGTAAGTGGACATCCTAGCCACATACAGACATACAAGGGTCTGGAGAACAAGCCCTATGACGAGCTGCTTAAAGAGCTGGGCATGTTTAGCCTGAAGAAGAGAAGGCTGAGAGGAGATATGATAGCCATGTATAAATATGTGAGAGGAAGTCACAGGAAGGAGGAAGCAAGCTTGTTTTCTGCTGCCCTGGAGACTAGGACACGGAACAATGGCTTCAAACGACAAGAAAGGAGATTCCATCTGAACATGAGGAAGAACTTCCTGACTGTGAGAGCCGTTCAGCAGTGGAACTCTCTGCCCCGGAGTGTGGTGGAGGCTCCTTCTTTGGAAGCTTTTAAACAGATGTTGGATGGCCATCTGTCAGGGGTGCTTTGAATGCAGTATTCCCGCTTCTTGGCAGAGGGTTGGACTGGATGGCCCATGTGGTCTCTTCCAACTTTATGATTCTATATTTTCACAGGAGTCCAATAGTACTAACTAAACAGTTTATTAAGAAAAGCCAGTATAAAAAAGGCAAAAGGAGTTGTAGTTCAACTACATCCAGAGAGCACTGAACCCAGCCAACGTCAGATCTGGAGCAAACTTGGCACATAGATACAACATGGCCAACTGTGCATACAGGCCTGGTTTGGAGACGATTAACCCATGGTTTTGGGAACTGTAGTTAACCCACATCCTAATGCATTTTCTAATGGGAGCATTTATTTTTTAAAAAACAAATAAAAACTGTGGTTTTTTTTCTAATACATAGTGTTACTGATCAACTAAATGATATTATCTGACACCAAAAAATAAACAATACCTTTTCCAAATAACCCAGGCATTGCCGGGTACCCAAGTTATCAAATCTATTGATAATGGGCTTGTGCTGTGTCATGTTTTGGAAAAGACAGAGTAATTGTTGTTATTATTTATTTATTTATTTATTTATCACCGCCTCTCCTTGTGGAGAACAGCGAGATAAAACAAAATACTCTTAAAATACATATAACAAATACACACAGATAAAATACCGATTCACATTCACCCTGCAGGTGAAAATTCGTGACTAAGTAGGTGTGCCGAATAAAGCATTATTTGCCGATAAAGCATCCATTACTTACTTACTCAATTGAACTTTTTAGCTATTCGTTTTGTCATTCTGCCAAAATAAATATTAATTGAAATTTACGTGGATTCTGCTCCATACTCACCACTGCACTGGCTGCCAGTTGGGCAGGAAAGGCCGGAAGCCTGTGATACATTCAAAGGCCAATGTACCAAAACTCCAGTAATCTACTGTCACAGTGTACTTCTGTTGCTCAAGCAACTCTGGGGCCTAAAAGGGAGAAAAACCAGAAAAACATCGAGACTGCAGTGCCATGTGTGTCTGGCCGGTTGTGGAAACAAGGATTGGTAAGAAAGTTTCAGTGGAGACTCCTTTTCCCCATGATAATAAGTGCCATCAATTCAAAAGGACTCAACATATCCCGGTTATATGGAATCCTGTACACACTCAAGTCAAACTCCAAGCTTCTTTAAAAGCCACAGAGGACCCAAGAATTCTCAAGGTCTTCCCTTCCCTCCATCCTCACTACACTTTTACAATAAATTGTCATGTAAAAAGGTTTAGGGCTGACAAGAATGCATGAATTCACAAACAGCACATTTGGGGATGGGGCAATGTATACTATTTGAGACTGATTTCTGAATGATCAATGAATAGATACATGGGATACAAAGTCTATTCACTTTATTGGGGAGTCACCTTCATGTCTTTTTTACAAACATCTACACCAGTGGTTCTCAACCTGTGGGTCCCCAGATGTTTTGGCCTTCAACTCTCAGAAATCCTAGCAGCTGGTAAACTGACTGGGATTTCTGGGAGTTATAGGCCAAAACACTTGGGTACCCACAGGCTGGGAACCACTAATCTAAAGCCTTCAGTAAGAAAACCGAAACAAGGCCAAGTACAAGCTACAAGAGTCAAGACAAAGATCCATCCAGAAAAAAAGCGTTCTTCCCATACATCAAGGGAACCACTGACCGCAGAGGGAAGCTGATGAGGAAACACAACCTACAGACCCACCAAGAAAATCCAACAAATGTTGTGTTCAGCAAAGTTCAAGAGTGATCTTCTTACCTCTGCAGGAGTCTGCCATATACTGTGCAGCTATGGAGAAGTCTACAGAGGGACCACCAAACGCAGCAGCATTTCCCAAACACAAATCAAGGAACATGAAAGGCACTGTAGATTAGTTCAACCAGAGAACTCAGCCATAGCAGAGCACTTAATGAGCCAACCTGGACACAGCATAATATTTGAGAACACAGAAATGCTGGACCACTCTAACAACTACCATGTAGGACTATACAGAGAAGCCACTGAAATCCACAAGCATGTGGACAATTTCAACAGAAAGGAGGAAACCAGGAAAATGAACAAAATCTGGCTACCAGTATTAAAAGACACTAAAATTACAACAGCAAAACAACAGAAAGGAAACAATCTCTCAACAAAAGATTGCCCCAAGCACTGAAATTCACAAGCAGTGTTTAAAAACTCTAAAATTAGGACAGTAAATAAAGAACGGCACTCAGAAAACAGGGGAATTCCAGACAGGAAACCATCAGGGCCAGCTAACACCTCCCAACAAAGGAGTTCCCTGGGCAGGAAGCAGCCAGGCTTTGAAGCTGCAAGGCCATTCAATGCTAATCGAGATGGCCATCTGCCACATTCACACTTGCCTCAAACAGACAAGAGTTCTTTCTCCACCCTGGACATTCCACAGATATATAAACACCACTTGCCTAGTTTTCCAACAGATCTCACAACCTCTGAAAATGCCTGCCATAGATGCAAGAGAACATCAGGAGAGAATGCTTCTTGAACATGGCCATCCATCCCAGAAAACTCATAGCAACCCAAAACCGAAACAATTTCACCAGACACCAGTTTAGTTTTTTGGGTGGTTTCAGTGTCCTGTTTCTTGGTTGCTACTCTTACGGACTTCTTCCATCCTCCCCCCCCCCCCCCCCAAGATATGTTTTTTCTTTCTTTCTCCACTTGAGAGAATCTTTACCAGATACTGCAGGGTCCCAACGAAGGACGTACATAGGCTGCCTTGATCCAGTTCTTTGGCGTATCCCAAATCAATGATCTTGTGTATTAACTGGGAGAAAAACAGAAAAGACGATATTTATTGAAGAAGCAAGTTAACTTGGGAGAGAGAAGAAACAGGACAGCTTTGAAGTACAGGAGGAAAAATAGCCACTAATTTTCTGTTATTGTTTTTTTTTTTTTTTTGCCATTATTGCTTGTTAAATGCACATCACATGTGTTATGCTGGATGTCAGTACTTAGTAACTTTGGGCAATTGTTTAAAAGGTCCACTCTACTGAGTTCAAGATCCAGCGAATCTCCTCCCTTGTGATGATGGTTGGAATTCAACCCCACACTGCTCAAGTCTCTGTTTCTGCACTCATTCAGATTGGATTTCTACTTCAGGCTTTTTGAATCTGCCTTCTGCCTTCTGCCACTTTAGTATGGAGAGTAGGTGCTGTGTGCTTTGAGATCTCTCTGCTTGTGTGTCAGGAGATATGGAGTGACTGAATGTTTCCCTCTCTTGAAAGCTTAGAAGAGATGCGTGTTATTGTAAATAAACTTTTTGCGATTTTTAAGATCCAACTCTGCATGTTTACCTCCTAAGCTCTGAATTCTTTACAGGCACATCACAGGGCACTTCACACTTTGCTTGCTAATGAGCCAATGCTCAGATGTATGAATCTGTTTGTTTTTGGATTCTTTGCTGTATATTTTAGGGTAGTTTCCCCTAACAACAACAATAATAGTAATGATAATAGTAATAATAATAATAATAATAATAATAATAATAATAATAATAGAAAGAAATCAATTACCGAAAGAAACACCAACAATGGTTTGTTGTAGGTTTTTTTGGGCTATATGGCCATGTTCTAGAGGCATTATCTTCTGATGTTTCGCCTGCATCTATGGCAAGCATCCTCAGAGGTAGTGGGGTCTGTTGGAACTAGGAAAATGGGTTTATATATCTGTGGAATGACTGGGGTGGGACAAAGAACTCTTGCCTGTTGGGGCCAGGTGTGAATGTTTCAACTGACCACCTTGATTAGCATGGTGGCATTATTTGAGAACACAGAAATGCTGGAGCACTCTAACAACCACCATGTCAGACTACACAGAGAAGCCATTGAAATCCACAAGCATGTGGACAATTTCAACAGAAAGGAAGAAATCATGAAAATGAACAAAATCTGGCTACCAGTATTAAAAAAAACTCTACAATTAGAACAGCACAACAACAGAGAGGAAACAATCAGGGACATCTAATCACCTCTCAACAAAAGATTGCCCCAGGCACTGCCAGGCCACCAAATGCTAATCAAGGTGGTCAGTTGAAACATTCACACCCGGCCCCAACAGACAAGAGTTATTTGTCCCACCCTGGTCATTCCACAGATATATAAACCCATTTTTCTAGTTCCAACAGACCCCACTACCTCTGAGGATGCTTGCCATAGATGCAGGTGAAACGTCAGGAGAGAATGCCTCTAGAACATGGCCATATAGCCCGAAAAAACCTATAACAAACCATTGTTGTTGATGTTTCCTTCGGTAATTGATTTCTTTCTATTATTATTATTACTATTATCATTACTATTATTGTTGTTGTTAGGGGAAACTACCCTAAAATGCCTCTAGAACATGGCCATATAGCCCGGAAAAACCTACAACAAACCAGTGATTCCGGCCATGAAAGCCTTCGACAATACATTTCTTATCTGTCTCTTCCTGCGGCTCAATAATGTCACAAAGTCCTTTTTTCTTGACTCAATGTAAAACAACTGCAAGGAGATCTCACTTCTTTCACCCATTGAATATTCCTAGTCAGAAGAGATGCAAATCTGCTGAACTGTCCTGCACTTGGTAGTGTTAACTACTGATCAACCCAATATGGAGAGGATGCCCACTCACCCGCTCTTCGCCTTGCTGCAGGACAATGTTCTCCGGCTTCAAGTCTCTGTGGATAATCCTGTTTTCGTGAAGATATCGGAGAGCAGAGGCTGACAGGGAGAGAGAGAAAGAGAGGAGTTCTCATTAGCAAAAAGCTGTGTGTGCATATTGGCCACTTTCATTCATAAGAGCCACTGAAAAGAGGGCATCACAGAGCATTGACATACTCCAGCTATGAGGCAAAGGTCCTCCATAATACAGGCATGGGCAAACTTGGGCCCTCCAGGTTTTTTGGACTTCAACTCCCACAATTCCTAGCAGCCTCAGGTCCTTTCCTTTTCCCTCTCAGCCGCTTAAGCCATGCCTGCCTCAACGTAATTTAATGCTCTGTTGACCTCAAGACTGACTATCTCTGCTGACTTACCAATGTCTGACAACAGGATGAGGATGGCTCTTTCGCGCACACCACAACAGTTCTCAAGTTGATTCAGATGCTGCAGATTTCAAGAGAAGGCATAAAAGAATGTGTAATCTCTCTGTACATTCTGTGCCCCTTGCACACATTTCAGTGGGGCTATCCTAAGGGCAGTGCATTCTCGCTCCAACCTGACATCTGCTTCTTAGCAACTACTACCGTATATACTCGAATATAAGCCAACCCGAACATAAGCCGAGGCACCTAATTTTATCACAAAAAACTGGGGAAATTGATTGACTCAAGTATGAGCTGAGGGTGGGAAATGCAGCAGCTACTGGTAAATTCCAAAATAAAAATAGATACCAATAACATGGCATTAATTGAGGCATTGGCAGGTTAAATGTTTTTGAATAAAACTGTAAGTTAAGGTAAGACTGTCCTCTGATTAAAACATTATTCTAACCTTCTTCAATGTAAATGTGTTTACATATCCTTCCAATAATAATAGAGTAAAATAAGAAATATAATAATAATAATAATAATAATAATAATAATAATAATAAGAGTGAAATAATGGAAATGTAATAATAACAGTAATAATAGAGTAAAATAATAAAAAACCTTGACTCGAGTATAAACCGAGGGAGACTTTTTCAGCTTAAAAAAAGGACTGAAAAACTAGGCTTATACTTGAGTATATACAGTATATCATGAAGCATTGCATTGTTTCAGAAGAAGAAAGCATCGAATCGCACAAAAGGGATTAAGCCAAAACCCTGCTAGAACCACACTCTCCAGAAATGCGCAGTGATAATCTGATTTAAGTCCAATCAGATTCTTTAGTCTTTCAAAATAACTCCGGTGACCATATTTGAATTTTTTTTTGTTCTGACAAGGTTTGCCACTGACTTTCTCTTTGGATTAAAGGGCGCAATTGATGCAGGATGACCCAATGTCTTTCCATTGCTGAGCAAGGATCTGAATCTAGATCTTTTGGTATCCTAGTCAGCATTCAAACCATCACACCATGCAATCTTTCTCTGGTGTATAATAGATTCCAAATAAAAAACAAGCATGGAGTAGTGGTTTGTGTGTTGGACTATGAGACACACTCTGGGGACCAGAGTTCAAATCCAAAGCCTTTGAAACACAATTGGTGACTTTGGGCAAGTCACACTCCCTCAGCCTCTGAAAGCCCTTAGGGTTGCCACCATTATTATTATTATTATTATTATTATTATTATTATTATTATTACTCACCTCTCCTTATGGCTCGAGGTGGGGCTTGAGCTGTAAATTAGAAAGGACTTAGAAAGCACACACCCTCAACCTCAGAAAGCCCTTAGGTTTGCCACCATTATTATTAGGATTATTTTTTTTATTACCCACCTCTCCTTACAGCCTGAGGTGGGGCTCGAGCCGTAAAATAAAAGCACTTGGAAGGCACACACTTTCAGCCCTAGAAAGCCATTAGGGTTGCCACCGCCGCCACCGCCGCCACCACCACCACCACCATTATTTGATACAAAACAAGATTAGTACATAGCAAACAAGATCACTATGCTGGCTTTTGTATTTGATCAAATATTGGACACTTCCCAAGTGTCTAGGACTATGTGATGTATCTGCGAATAATGCGTGCAGATCCGAGTAGGGTGGCCTTTTGCAGCTGACAGATGGTAATTTTGTCAGCATTGATTGTTTTTAAGTGCAAGCCAAGGTCTTTAGGTACTGCACCTAGTGTGCTGATCACCACTGGGACCACCTTGACTGGCTTGTGCCAGAGTCTTTGCAGTTCTATCTTTAAATCCTCATATCGTGTAAGCTTTCTCAGTTGCTTCTCGTCAATTCTGCTGTCACCTGGGATTGCAACAGCAACAATCCATACTTAGTTTTTTTCCACGATCGCGAGGTCTGGAGTATTGTGATCCAAAACTGTCTGAATCCGGAAGTCCCAGAGTAGTTTGACGTGTTCATTTTCTGTAACTTTTTCAGGCTTATGATCCCACCAGTTCTTTGTCTCAGGCAGATGATATTTGTGGCACAAGTTCTAATGAATCATCTGAGCAACGGTGTTGTGCCTCTGCTTGTAGTCTGTCTGCACAATCATCTTGCAGCAGCTGAGGATGTGATCTATTGTTTCATCTGCTTCCTTGCAGAGTCTACATTTTCAATTCTGAAAAGTCGTCGACTTTTCAATTCTGCCTTTGATGGCATCTGTTTTAATGGCTTCATGGGCTGCCAGAATTGGGCCAGAATTTCAGAACCATTGGCAATGATATTTTCAAAGTTCCATTTGTGAGCCACATCCATGTTTTTTCTTTGTTGATTTGGCTCTCAATTTTTCCCAGGAATTGTCAATGGAGAGCCTTCTTTCGCCAGTTTTCTCTTTTGCTCTGAATTGTGTTTTCACTCCTCCTCCTCCTCCTCCTCCTCTTCTTCTTCCTCTTCTTCTTCTTCCCTGCCTCTCCTTATAGCCCAAGGTGGGTCTTGAGTCATAAATCAGAAGGCACACAAACAACAGCAACAACAACAACCCCAAATGTGCAGCACACTCCCAAATACTCACTCTCCTGAGATCTCCGCCCTGGCAATATTCCATGGCCAGGAGGGGCAGGTCATTCAGGGCAAGGCTTTGCATCCCTTCTGGCACATCCCTGGCAGCCACCACGTTGGGATGATTGAGACTGTGTGAGAGAAAAGAGGAAACTGCATTAGGATTTCCAGGAGGGCGCTTTAAAGAAATGGCTTCCACACCTTCATGTTTCTGCCATAAGACCGTGAATTTTGCAAAATAATGACCAACAGAAAATACTGGAAGTGTTCGGTGGGTTTGGTGGGCAGTGTCCTTTGGTTTTGGAATTGTAGTTCACCTACATCCAGAGATCATTGTGGACTCAAACAATGATGGATCTGGACCAAACTCTACACAAATACTCAATATGCCCAAATGTGGACACTGGTGGAGTTTAGGGAAAATAGAATCTTGACATTTGGGAGTTGTAGTTGCTGGGATTTATAGTTGACCTACAATCACAGAGCATTTGAACCCCACCAACAATAGAATTGGGTCAAACCTCCCACACAGAACCCCCATGACCACCAGAGTGGGCCACAGCAACACGTGGCAGGGGACGGCTAGTGATTCTATAAAGTCCAAAACACTTGGAGGGCTCAAGTATGCCCTTGCCAGTTTTATGGGGTCCAAGAAAGGCCCATTCGCAGGATGCTTTCCTTCCACAACCCCCGGCTTCCCTGTCCGGCTCCTCACCGTTTCATGATCTGGATTTCCAAACACCACCGTTCTCGGTTGCGGAGGCTGAGCTCCTGGCGACACTGTTTGATTGCAATCTGCTCCCCCGTTTCCTGTACGAAAATAAGATGCCAACAATGTGATGAACGCAGCACACTGATTCTCAAAACTGCCTCCCAAAACCTGACAAATAAATGCTTTTGGAGCCTTCGGGGAGTTGTGCTCGCAAGGAGATTTTGGAAAGGGCAAAAACGATATTCTGAAAAGGACAAGTAGCAGGGGATTATGAGAGGAACGTCGACAAGTCCATTTTAAATCGAGAATTTCATTATGCATTTCGTCTTTTTAATGTGTATCTTGTATGTGTTTTGATAGTGTTGTTGTGTGTGTTTTGATAGTGTTTACCGACTGTTAGGAATTGTGGGAGTTGTGGGAGCTTCGGGAGACAGTGGTCGGGCATCCGGACAACATTGGCAGTCCAGTGGAGTTGATGGCGGAGGAGCATCGCTTAAGTGCTGGTGGTCTTTGCTTCTTCCAGCACACTGACGTTTGTCCGCTTGTCTTCCCAAGAGATTTGCAGGATTTTCCAGAGGCAGCGCTGATGGAATCGTTCCAGGAGTTGCATGTGATGTCTGTAGACAGTCCACGTTTCGCAGGCATATACCAGGGTTGGGAGGACAATAGCTCTATAAACAAGCACCTTGGTATCCCTACGGATGTCCCGGTCCTCAAACACTGTCTGCTTCATTCAGAAAAATGCTGCACTCGCAGAGCTCAGGCGGTGTTGTATTTTGGTGTTGATGTTGACTTTGGTGGAGAGGTGGCTGCCAAGGTAGCGGAAATGGTCAACATTTTCTAATGTTACACCATTAAGCTGTATCTCTGGCATTGGAGAGGGGTTGGCAGGAAACTGCTGGAACAGTACTTTGGTTTTTTTGTTCAGTGACAGGCCGAGCTTTGTGTATGCTTCTGCGAAGGTGTTTAGAGTGGCTTGTAGCTCTTCTTCTGAATGTGTACAGACGACATTGTCATCAGCATACTGGAGTTCTATAACAGATGTTGTTGTAACCTTGGTTTTGGCTTTCAGTCTGCTGAGGTTAAACAGCTTGCCATCTGTCCGATAAATGACTTCCACTCCGCTGGGAACCTTCCCATCAACAAGGTGAAGTATCACAGCGATGAAGATGGAGAATATGTTGGGGCAATAACACATCCCTGTTTGACACCCGATTCCACCATAAATGGGTCACTTTGGGAGCCGTTGCTGTCCAAGACTGTTGCCATTATGTCATCATGGAGGAGCCGCTGGATGTTCACAAATAAAGGAATGACATAAATTAGAAACCATTACTGGATGAGGATGAACAAGCTGAAGATCAATCCCGACAAGACAGAGGTCCTCCTGGTCGATCGTAAACCAGATCTGGGTATAGCGTGGCAACCTGTGCTGGACGGGGTTATACTCCCCCTGAAGTCACAGGCCCGCAGTTTGGGTGTCCTCTTGGATTCATCACTTACGCTTGAGGCTCAGGCGTTATCGGTGGCCTGGAGGGCTTTTGCACAATTGAGACTTGTGCGCCAACTGCGACCATACCTCGTAAAAGCTGATCTGGCCAGGGTGGTCCATGCCTTGGTCACCTCTAGATTGGACTAAAGTAATGCGCTCTACGTGGGACTGCCCTTGAAAATGGCTCAGAAATTTCAACTGATCCAACGGGCGGCGGCCAGGATGTTAACTGGTGCTCCTTACAGAGAGAGGTCAACCCTCCTGTTTAAGCAGCTCCATTGGCTGCAGTTCATCTTCCGGTCCCAATTTCAGGTGCAGGTGCTCACCTACAACGCCTACCTGCGTGACCGCATCTCCGTATATGAACCCACATGTTCCCTTCGATCATCTGGAGAGGCCCTGCTCATGATCCCACCTGCATCGCAAGCGCGTTTGGTGGGGACGAGGGACAGGGCCTTCTCTGTGGTGGCCCCCCGACTCTGGAACTCTCTCCTCAAGAACATCAGACAAGCCCCAACGTTGACAATCTTTAGGAAGAGCCTGAAGACCTGGCTGTTCCAGTGTGCCTTTCCAGAATAGGAAACTCCCGGCATCATGTCCCAAATGCACTTTGTTAGAGACTAGGATTGTCTGCATATTGCACCTACCTCCAAAAATCATTACATAACTCCTGTCAAGTTCAGCACTTTTAAATTTTGTCCATTACATTTGGCCCGGCCTTCTAGATTTTAAATGCGTCATGGTGTCATTGTTTTTAGTGTTTTATTGCCTTTGCTTGATGTTTTATTATTTGCCTATGAGTTTTATTGTTATATTTGTATGTTGTTGTTTGTTGCAGCCTTGGCCTTTGTAAGCCGCATCGAGTCCTTCGCGAGATTTTGCAGGGTATAAATATAGTTAATAATTAATAATAATAATAATAATTTTCCATGTATTGTCGAAGGCTTTCATGGCCGGAATCCATGGGTTGTTGTAGGTTTTTCCGGGCTATATGGCCATGTTCTGGAGGCAATATTTCTCCTGACGTTTCGCCTGCATCTATGGCAAGCATCCTCAGAGGTAGTGAGGTCTGTTGGAACTAGGAAAAATTGGTTTATATATCTGTGGAATGACCAGGGTGAGACAAAGGACTTTTGTTTGCTGGGGCTAGCTGTGGATGTTTCAGCTGATCACCTTGATTTGTATTTGAAAATTGCATAATTTTCCAGGTCACCAGTCTGGGCCACAGCGACGCATGGCAGGGGACAGCTAGTGCTCCCTATGTCCCATCTGCATGGGGGTATTGGGGTAACTTTGGCCTTACAGAGGGATGTGGACTCCAGCTCCCAGAAGACTCAGCCAGCATTCTGGGAGTTGAAGTCTCAGCCGCAAGCCACGCCCCTCTGGCCCTCCCTCCCTCGCTCCCTGACTCACTTTGTGCTGCCAGCGGATGACGTTGCCGAAGCCCCCGGTGCCGAGGCGTTCTCGCATCTCCCAGGCCCCGCAGGAGGCCGTGGGCTGGAGCGGCGGAGGAGCCATCGCAAACCAGCCCCGCTTCTCCTCACGGGGACACCCAATACAACCCCCCTTCCTCCTCCTGCTTCTGTTTCCTCCCTCAGCAACAGGACTAGGCCGCGCCGCTCTCCTTCCGCGTCTTCAGGAAAGGGGAGGCGGGCCCCGAGGGGGAAAAAGACTAGGCCGCGCCTTAAAGGGACCGCAGCATTTAAAAAAAGAAAAACAAATAGATCAGTGGTTATTATTATTATTATTATTATTATTAAACTTTGTTTGTACCCCGCTAGCATCTCCCGAAGGATTCGATGCGGCTTACACAGGCCAAGGCCTCAACACACAACACAACAATACAATCTAAGCAAATCAAACAATTAAAAACAGAATAAAGCAAAATAAACAATAGGCACAATACACTAAACACAATAAAACTGGGCCGGGCCAGAGCAATGGGTACAAGATTAAAAGTGCTGATGTGACAGGAGGTGTAAATAGGGTGACCCCCCCACCACAACATGAGGAACTGTATTGAGGGGTCGCAGGATTAGGAAAGTTGAGAACTATTGTTGTTCATTCGTTCAGTCATCTCCGACTCTTCGTGACCCATGGACCAGCCCACGCCAGCGCTCCCTGTCGGCCGTCACCACCCCAGCTCCTTCAAGGTCAAGCCAGTCACTTCAAGGATGCCATCCATCCATCTTGTCCTTGGTCGGCCCCTCTTCCTTTTTCCTTCCCAGCATAATTGTCTTCTCTAGGCTTTGCTGTCTCCTCATGATGTGGCCAAAGTACTTAAGCTTTGTCTCTAGTATCCTTCCCTCCAGTGAGCAGCCGGGCTTTATTTCCTGGAGGATGGACTGGTTGGATCTTCTCGCAGTCCAAGGCACTCTCAGAACTTTCCTCCAACACCACAGTTCAAAAGCATCGATCTTCCTTCGCTCAGCCTTCCCTATGGTCCAGCTCTCACATCCATAGGTTACTACAGGGAATACCATGGCTTTGACTAGGCGGATCTTTGTTGCCAGTGTGATGTCTCTACTCTTTACTTTATCAACAGAGAGGAAACAACCAGGCACATCTTAACACCTCTCAGCAAGAGATTTTCCCAGGCTCAGGCAGGCCTTCAAATGCTAATGAAGGTGATCAGCTGAAACATTCACACCTAGCTCCAGCAGAGAAAGGCTCTTTGCCCCACCCCAGCCATTCCACAGATATATAAACCCTTTTTCCTAGTTCCAACAGACCTCACTACCTCTGAGGATGCTTGCCATAGATGCAGGCGAAACGTCAGGAGAAATGCCTCTAGAACATGGCTCTATAGCCCGAAAAAACCCACAAGAACCTAGTGATTCCAGCCATGAAAGCCTTCGACAACCATAACATTATTTTCGTTGCTACTTCATACATTTTCTAATTTTGCTATTGTTATGAATCACAATGTGAAAACACATCTGATCTGCAGTATGTGTTTTCATTCATTAACTGGAACAAAGTTGGCAAAAATATCCACATTTGAATACTGGTGGGTTTAGACGGGAGATTGATTTTGTCATTTGGGAGTTGTAGTTGCTGGGATTTATAGTTCACCTACAATCAAAGAGCATTCTGAACTCCACCAAAGATGGAATTGAATCGATGCAGCTTACAAAGGCCAAGGCCTCAAAACACAACATAACAATACAACACCTAAAGCAAATTAAAAACAATTAAAGCAATATTAAACAACAAGCAATAAACAATACATCAAGACACTATAAAACTGGGCTGGGCCAGAGTAATGGGTACAGGATTAAAAGTGCTGATGTGACAGGTCATATGTAAGAATTATAGGGTAAGTGCAGTGTGCAGTGTGCAGCAATCTTAGTTCTAATAAAGTGCTTATGGGACTTGGTACTGGAGATTCCTAATCTGGAAAGGCACATCGGAACAGCCAGGTCTTCAAGTTCTTTCGAAAGACTGCCAATGTAAGGGCCTGTCTAAGATCTTTTGGGAGGGTGTTCCAGAGTCGGGGGGCCACCACAGAAAAGGCCCTGTCTCGCGTCCCCACCAAACGCGCCTGCGACGCTGGCGGAATCACGAGCAGGGCCTCTCCGGATGACCGAAGTGAGCGAGTGGGTTCATAAACGGAGATATGGTCACGCAGGTAAGATGGTCCCAAACCGTTTAGGGCTTTGTAGGTAAGCACCTGCACTTTAAATTGGGCTCTGAAAATAAACGGCAGGCAGTGGAGCTCCTTGAACAAGCATTGGTGAGCACCCTCTGGGTTCATCCATTTAACCAATTACAGATCCACCTCACCGTAGTGTTGCCTAGCCCACATTGGAATAGTTTGTTTGCCAGAAGGTCATGGGGGACCTTGTCGAAGGCCTTACTGAAATCCAGGTACGCTACATCCACGGCATTCCCCGCATCTACCCAGCTTGTAACTCTATCGAAAAAAGAGATCAGATTAGTCTGGCATGACTTGTTTTTGATAAATCCATGTTGACTTAATAAACCATTAAGCTGTATTTCTGGCATTGCAGAGGGATTGGCTGGTGCTTGCTGGAAGAGTACTTTGGTTTTCTCAATGTTCAGTGAAAACAGTACCATATAATCCTGTTCAAAGCTGATCATCTGGATTCAGAGACTGGAGTATAGGGCAGTGTAGTTGGGGCCTGTGATATGATGTAGCCACAGGAGGGCAGCATCTGCTCTATTTATAGATAAAATTTATGCTTAGACAGAAGTCTTAAGATTTGTGTTTTGCATCCTTGGCATGAGGCAGAAAGCATTACTACTGTGATTTCTTTTTCTCATCCTCTTCACTACACAAACACAAAAACATCCTAAGGAAAGCATGCCCTCATACATTTATCCTCTGCTCTGGATTTTCCGTTGCAGAACTACTCCAATGTCCAGATGGGATCACATCTTCCTGCAACCTCACCCACTCCTTTGCACTTTGGTAAAATTTCCCCTTTTCCATGCTTAATAAGGTGGCCATTAGGCCAAGCTTTGCTAGACAGGCAAAGAGGCTTCAATGGGATGCTTTTAATGCACAAACCATGTCAACAATCAATTCAACTTTGTGTTTCAAAAGGCATCTTCTCTGTCACAATATCAGAAGTTTCCTTTTTGCATTAAAAAAGGTGTTTCCATTTGGAGGATTGGTAAGGAGACTGGATGGCCATAAAATTATTTATGAATTGTAATGTAAATATCTGCTACACAGGATATGTTTTCATTCACTGGTCCAAATTTGGCACAAATACCTGGAACGCCCAAATTTGAATACTGGTGGGGTTTGGGGGGATTGATTTTGTCATTTGGAAGTTGTAGTAGTTGGGATTTATCGTTACTTTACAATCAGAGAGCATTCTAATCTCCACTAAAGATGGAATGGAACCAGACTTGGCACACAGAATTCCCACAACCAACAGAAAATACTGGAATGGTTTGGTGGGCATTTACCTTGCGCTTTGGAGTTGTAGTTCATCTACATCCAGACAGCACGGTGGACCCAAACAATGATAAGACCTGGACCATGCTTGGCACGGATACTCAATATGCCCAAATATGAACACTTGTGGAGTTTGGGGGAAATAGACCTTGACTTTTGGGAGTTGTAGTTGCTGGGATTTATAGTTCACTTACAATCAAAGAGCTTTCTGAACCCCACCAACGATAGAAATGGGCCAAACTTTTCACACAGTACCCCCATGCCTTGAAGGGACTCACTGGCGCAAGCCTCCCTCCAGTCTCACATGCTCTTCCTTGCCTGCACATGCGCACCACCCTGCCATGTGCCGGGTATGCCTGCTCTCCCCTCCCCTGCTTGAAATTTTAAAAACAGCCCTCCCCTTGGCTTAGAGGCCAGCGGAGAGGCCGGTCAATCACAGCAGATGAGGGCTTTTCAAAAAGGAACAGGACAGGCAGGGAGATCTTCAGCTTTCTCTGCCAAAGGGGTTCCTAAGACTCTCAGAAATACATGTTTTCTAAAGATCTTTGGTGAACCCTCTAAAAACTCCCTTGTGACTGCCCCCCCCCCGCCCCAGATCTCAACCCCCAGGTTGAGAAAAACTGATCTAATGGATTATATGCTGTTTAGTGCTCTGAATCTGCTATTTTCTAGATCTTTCCAATAATGATGATGATGATGATGATGATGATGATGATGATGATGATGATGCAAAAGAGAAAACTGGCAAAAGAAGGCTCTCCATGGACAGTTCCTGAGAAAAATTGAGAAACAAATTGACAAAGAAAAAACATGGCTGTGGCTCACAAATGGAATTCTGAAAAGGAGATGGAGGGCCTGATTCTGGCAGCCCACGAACAAGCATTATAACCAGTCCCATCAGAGCCAGAATTGAAAAGTCAACAACAGATCCCAAATGTAGACTCTGCAAGGAAGCAGAGGAAACAATAGATCACATCCTCAGCTGTTGCAAGAAGATCGCGCAGACAGACTACAAGCAGAGGCATAACACCATGATTCATTGGAACTTGTGCCACAAATACCATCTGCCTGTGACAAAGAACTGGTGGGATCACAAGCCAGAAAAAGTTACAGAGAATGAACACACCAGACTCCTCTGGGACTTCCGAATTCAGACAGACAGTTTTGGAGCATAATACTCCTGACCTCACAATCGTGTTAAAAAACAAAGTATGGATCGTTGATGTCGCAATCCCAGGTGACAGCAGGATTGCAGAGAAACAACTGGAAAAGCTGACACGATATGAGGATTTCAAAATCGAACTGCAAAGACTCTGGCACAAACCAGGAAAGGTGGTCCCAGTGGTGATTGGCACACGGTGCAGTGCCTAAAGACCTTGGCCTGCACTTAAACACAATCGGCTCTGACAAAATTACCATCTGCTAGCTGCAAAAGGCCACCTTACTGGGATCTGCACGCATCATTCGCCGATATATCACACAGTCCTAAACACTTGGGAAGTGTCTGATGTGTGATCCAATTCAACAGCCAGCAGAGTGTCTGCTGTGGACTCATCTTGTTGTGTTTCAAATAATAATAATAATACATTTGGCAGTATTTGTCAGACTTGGAATGTGACTCATAGACTGCTAGACCACTGGAAAACCAGTCTCTGTCTCCTGGGAGAGATAATAAGTAGGTCAGGGACATTCCATGTTTTCTTCAGAATTCCTTCCTTAGA